TATATAATATTAATATTAATTAAGTTTTGTTGCTTGCACTTGACAAGAGCTGGAAAGAGTTTATCAAACTTGATTATGCCATTGAATTTTCTTTTTATATTAGATAGGGCATTTAGCAAGAGCTGGAAGGAAGGTTTGATTGGGTTCTAAGAAGTTAATTTTAGTACTCAAGCACACTTCAAGTAAGTGAATAGCGTCCCAACTAATATTTCATTAAAATCTCCTTTATTTAAATATTACATTTTTATACAAATTCTTTTTATAGCAACAATGTGATTATTAGATATTTTGTTGATTAAAGTATTTATTTTTGTGAAGTTATCTTTACCAAATTTGATAATTTTATTTGATCAGTAAATACAAGTTTGGATTTTAATTATGGGATTTTCATTCTGAAAATTATTGAATTGCTACGAAAAACAATTCATACGAGTTCGATGTTGAAAATTTTTTATTTAATAAATGCAAGTATGAGCATCGGATATAAAATTTAATTCTGGCAAGTTTTAATGCTTAAAAGTATTCATGCGAGTTTGATTTTGAGAATGAGAACTGTATCTTGAAAGTGATGATTTTCTCGCATGTTTGAAATGATTTTAAAAAGGGACTTTATATAAAACACTGGTTGCTAATGGCAGTTCCATTAGCCCTTGGCGCGCTATGGTATACCTAGCTAGCAAGGTGTTTATAAGAGGTACTAGCCCCGTGCGATAGCCAATGCACGTGAAATGGAGGGATGGTTATTCGTGAGCATCGTACTCACATTTGTTTCGTGGCTTTAAGCCGCGTTTGGTTAGCATTACCCTCGTGGACTTTGTGTCCACATTTGTTTCGTGGCTTCGGCTGCGTTTGGTTACTTACCCTCGTGGATTGTGTGTGTCCATGTTTGTCTTCGTGGCACAAGCCACGTTTGGTTATTTACCTTCGTGGACTGTGTGTCCACATTTGTTAATTGTTCTAATAAGTCCCTATAATTATGAAACCAATCATTTGATGATTTCATATTTTATTGATTTTTGTTTAGTAATTTATTTATAAATATTTATTTCATTTAAGTGACTTCTTAAAAATCAAGTGATATTACCATTTGCTATGATAGTTCAATAGTTCAAGATTTTATTCAAAATTTTATAGAATCATTTTATTTTGAAGTTTATACATTTTTTTATGGAAATTGTTGTCTCTTTAATTTACATGGTTATTTCAAACTTTTCTTTTTATTCATGTTAAATTATTTATTGTTGGGACGTTATTCACTGGAAAATTATTTTTGGTCTCAGATAGCATAATTGACGCTGTACGTCTTGCTTACTAATGATGGATGCTTGCGGAACAAAATGGAGGCTTGTTCTGTAAATATGTCTTATTGATATAAATATGAAATTTATGTATTATGTCATGAGACATATAATTAGGTGCTCCACATAACTTATAATTAGAGTTCTTAGTTTATTATACATTTTGTCTACTGGCTGAAAGGAGCCGAGCTCCTGATTGATATAATGTTTAAGGAAAATTTTTGTGATACAGAATTTTTGGGAGATTTTATTTACAGAGGAGGTTCTGTCAAAATTTTTACAAAATGTTGAAACAATTAGTATAATGATTAATATCAATAGTATTCAAATGTTAGTGTAAAACTGAGTACATTTTAATTAAAGGAAATAAACCTTGAATTTGTGGCTTACGGGATGTATGATGTGATTCACATCCTGTGCCGGTTACCCCTATTTTTAGGGCGTGACATATTAAATATTAAATATTATAAAATATCATTACTATCCTTAAATACTTCAATTTAATTCTTTCAATTTATAAAATTATAAATTATATTATTTATTTTGTTTAAAGTAAACTATAAATATAATTGATACAATATAATTTGTATTATTTATTTTAATTTTTTTACTTCTTAAGGTTGTTATATTATTTATTTTAATATTCATATTTATAATTATAATATAAAAAATATCTAAGAATAAATAGTAAAAATATTGATGATTATATATTAGCAAAAAATTATAAAAATATAGACAATCAACGGTGACACTAAAAAGTCGCTGTTGAAAGTCGACTTTCAGATGTCATCGCTGAAACTTACAACATAATTTTTAAAAAAAAATTAAAAAATGCTGACAATCTGCGACGACTTGTACGTCGCCGCTGAAACTTACAACATAATTTTTTAAAAAAAATAAAAAATGCTGACAATCAGCGGCGACACTAAAAAGTCATCACTGAAAGTCGACTTTCAGCGGCAACATATAAGTCGCCACTGAAACTTGCAACATAATTTTTTAAAAATAAATAAAAAAATGCTAACAATCAGGAGTGACACTAAAAAGTCGCCGCTGAAAGTCGACTTTCAGCGGCGACATCCTGAAACTTGCAACATAATTTTTTAAAGAAATAAAAAAATGCTAACAATCAGCGGCGACACTAAAAAGTCACTGCTAAAAGTCTTTCAACAGCGACTTTTTAGTGTCGCCACTGAAACTTGCAACATAATTTTAAAAAAAATTATAAAAATGGCCAAATCTTTCACATTTATAACAAACTATTTCTATTTTATATTTTTTAAAATTATCTTTCTAAAGGTTTTATAATATTAATTATTTGTCCATATGTTAAAACAGTAGAATTTATTGTTCTTCGTTATAACTAGTAAAATAAAAGCAAAAGAAAATATAGAAAATGAAATAGATAACACCCCTTTTGAAATAAATCAACAAAGATACATGAACATGATATCACATATAACTTATAAAAAAATGATATTGCCAAGTAAGTTTAGTAACAAACAGAGAATATTCAAGAAATATAATATTCAAAAATCCTGTGAAAGAATAGGAAAGTTAGGTAGTAGTGTTCCTATTAAGTCTAGGAAGAACAATATCAATAGAAAATAAAACTTGTAGAAATAGAAATATGAGATGGTTCGATAAGATATTAGGATCTAAGTAAAGAAAGAAGAATAAGATAAGTCTTAAGAATCTTAGTCTATAGCCAAATAAGAATAGTGAACCTGAAAGAAAAGTAGAAGAGGTAGAGATAAAGAAATACATTATAAAAGAATTGAAGAACAAATAGAAATCTCAAAAATAGAAAATAGAATAAATTAAATAAGAGAAAAATTTAAAAGAGATATTTGTGCAGAATATCCAAATTCTTTTTGAAATAGAAAAAGACATAAGAAATCATGGGTGAAAAACAAATATGATAAAAGAAGAAAAAGTAAAAGCAAAAGAAAAACAAGAGTTGAATCTTGTCAAAAAATAATTTAAGCACAAAAAAAATAAAAGGTAATTAGATGAAGCAAATCAAAAGAGCTAATTTAACCATGATTTTTTTAAACTTCTATAAAATCAGAAGACTTTTGATTTTGCAGGCATTAAATTAAATGGCCCCTTCTCTATCTCTTAATATAAACCTCTCTCCACTTGAAATATTACAAGATATGTATGTATATCTGTGCATACATATATACATACATACAACTTGGTTAAATAAATGAAAATGAAAATAAATTGAAATTTTAATAAAAAGAACATCATGAAATTGGTAAAACAAAAATATATTTTTTCCTATGAAAAATACTTTAATCTAATTTTGAAAACACAAAAAAATGCTGACAACCAACAGCGACTTCTGAAAGTCGACTTTTAGCGACGACTTATATGTTGTCGCTGAAACTTACAACATAATTTTTTTAAAAGAAATTAAAAAAATGCTAACAATCAGCGGCGACTTGTATGTTGCCGCTGAAACTTGCAACATAATTTTTTTAAAGAAATAAAAAAAGCTGACAATCAGCGGCGACACTAAAAAGTCGCCGCTGATTCTCAACTTTCAGCGGCGACTTGTATGTCGCTGCTGAAACTTGCAACATAATTTTTTAAAAAAAAATTAAAAAAGTTGACAATCAGCGATGACACTAAAAAGTTGCCGCTGATTCTTGACTTTCAGCAGCGACTTGTATGTCGCCGCTGAAACTTGCAATATAATTTTTTAAAAAAAATTATAACATATTTTAAAAAATACTGGCAACACTAAAAAGTCGCCGCTAATTCTCAACTTTCAACGACGACAATAAAAGTCATCGCTGAAAATGTGACTTTCAGCGGTGACATTTGATGTCACCATTGAAAGTTTGACAATCAGCGATGACTATGCCTTGTCACCGCTGAAAGTGTGACTTTTAGCGACGACTTTTTAGTGTCGTTGCTGAAAGTCATTTTTTTTTTGTAGTGTTTCTTGGATAAATAATATTTTTTTTTTCCGGTAAAATAAGAAGCTTATATCAGGATAAATAATATTCTTTTAGGATCAACAGCATTGTACAATCATGAGTGCCCAAGGATCTAACCTCTTACTCGTCGATATAAACTCTTCACACTGTACTCACAATCCCTGCCAACGTAAATATTTTCTTTTCCTCCTTTAGCCATAATATGTATGATTTAATAACGATATAACCATATATTATCTATGCTTTCTACACTGTTATGCCAAAAAATTAATTTTATACTTTAAACACAACTTATTTTCCTTAATGGTGTAGGAAATCCAACATAAGATTTATGTTTAGATAAAGTTAACATGCAAGACTTTCTTTCATAAACACACTTTGCTCGTGATGTTTGTAATTATAAATTCTTTGCCATAGCTATTGCACCATAATAAATGCGGCACGGCCCCCAGCTTAAAATTATACATTAACCCAACGTGTGATATCATGCAACAACTTTTATGAAGTTTAAAATTAGAGCATGCTTGTCCAATACATATAATTACATTTATTCTGTCTCAACACATATACCCATTTATTTTGAAGAATAAAACATGAATTACAAATGAAGCTTTTATTTATTTCATTACTATATAGACTTACATAAGCCTTATTATTTAGAGTCACAACGTTTACCATTAATTTATACCCAATACAACTATTTATTTACTTGGTTTCATTTACTATTTCTGGAGGTGCACATACAGAGGAATCAACCTTTAAAAGTTGTGTTTGTTTGCTTGGTTGGGTAAGCACCAGCATAATTTATGTCACACACTCCTTGAGTGGAATCAGTGTTTCTTTTGATGAAGATGTAACCACGTTGTCCCCAAGAGGCTCCCCATGAGTTTTTGACGATCCAATAATCTTGACCAGCACCCAATGAACCATATCCTACTATTAATACAGCATGATTATGTGTACTTGAACCAATGCTTGAGCAATTAGCACCAACAAAGATTCCCTGTCCACGTATAAAGAGAACAACTTTAAAATTTTTCAAATAATGTTTCTTGTTGCATGGCAGACACTGAGGTATATATAAAATGTATTTCCATAAATAATTGTAAGAAATTGCAACGTTTAGAAGCCAGATTAGCTTATATGCACTGGGCTCTGAAAAAAAAACACATTTTAATTCATTGCCTGCTTTTATTTATGGTCCTTATCATTAATTTATGGTTTTGGTTTCGGTAATTAGGTATAATTGGCATTATGGATGAACACACACACACACACACACACATATTAGTTACTTACACTCTTGTATGACATGAAATCTTGGTTTGCATAGAAGGAAACGCTGATAGGTTGCTTGGCAACAGAACAAAAAAGAGAATTTTCTGATATAGGTGTCTGCCAACAATAATTATAGCCATCAATAGTAGCAAATTTCTTTTGTTCCTACATCAAAACAAAACAAGTTAAAAGAACAGCCAGAATTTCTTTGTTTCAGAATGACACAAGCAAGGAATTGAAGTCAAAAGGGAGAGGATATTATATTAGCACTCACCAATGTGGAATTGCATCCACTATTATTAGCTGAATATGGAGTCTCTTTCTGAGGCAATACCACCATTTTCAATGACATATTGAAATGCGCCATAGTGCTTCCCTCCTAGACAGCCACTGTTATTCTTATCACAGGATATTAATTTGTGTTCAGAAAGATTTGGAAGCCATTGTGACACTATTTGATTTATTCCTTCCATGGCTCCAGTTGCAGAGAATGCCCAGCAACTTCCTATAACATGAACTTGAGTTAATATTATGCTTCAACATATACATATATGCTACAATTAATTAAATCATAAAAAACACAAGAAATTTAAGTTAAAGTTACCACACCGGCCTTGGTCTTTAACATTAGTTACAGCTCCAGACAACCTCCAATCCAAGGAAGAAGGTGCATTTGGACAAGACTCATTGTTCGACACCATTTTTCCCACCATGTTGCTTTCGATTATTGGCTCTGACGTCTCATGTAAGTAGATTTTGCTGAACTCTTCATAACTCACGTCTGAAAACTTGTTCAAACCCAAGCTATAGTCGCTGGACAACTTTCTTTCTGCATTTCTCTGTCTGATATGCTTCAAATTGTTTTGGAAAGTTTGAAATCTTCTTGTCTCCTCTTGTAGGTTTTGGTGTTCTCGTTCACTCTTCTGCTTCCAGACTTTGAATAATTGTAAGACTTCTTTCTCAGAATTGAACTTGTCTAAATCTTGGTTCAAAATGAAATAATCATCAGGAACAGAGGAAGCGAGACAAATCAGAGAATACCAGAGGAAGAAAAGGAAGATCAACTTAGTGATTTCAGAAGCCATTCTTCATGAAGGCGATAGATCTATCTCAATCGATTGGAATGCTTTTCTTGTGCATCTAGCGTCCTTATTGTCCCATATATATATAAGGGGGTAACATAATATTTTAAGCATATAAAAATTCTTTCTTTTTAGGGGGGAAAAACTTGAGTTCGAATGCACAAACAAAAAAATTGACATTCTTATATCGAGTGAAAGATAGAGATAAATTATAAAATTTTCATATTCATGATCTCCATTCATCTCAATATCAGGTTTTCAAACATTAATGAAATTGCATTTTCTATGAATTAATTCTGAAAATCAAGCAGCAGAACCGAATGGATCACTCTAAGTGAACCCTGAAAAATGATTAATATTCCAGTATTTAAGTACTACACATTTTAATAAAAAAAAAAAAGTTGTATAGTACTCCGATAGATACAGTACAAAAATATCAAACCCGTCCCCAGATTAGGACCCCAGCAACTATGAAAAAATCCTTATATTGATTCGATCGAAGTATCAAATTTTTAGGTTTAGAATATTTTGACTATATTCTCTTTTGTAATCACATTTTCCAATTACAATGTTGATTTCGTCGATAAAAGATTGATGTCATCGATATTATTCAAGTTCATAAGGAATGTTTAATTATTCTTTTGTTTTGGACCAAATTCGTTTTTTGTTGTTAAAGTTGATTAATTATTGTTTAAAACAATAAGCTATTTGCCAGCTTACTACGAACTTTTATCAATCGTTCCTTTTGGTCAATTCCAAAAACCTTTCTTGTTGTCAAGAACAACTTTCGAATGGCCTCCTGGCTCCACATTCATTCGTTAGAGACAAGATAATTTTTTTAATAAAAAGAAAGGACAAGATTGCAATCTAATTTGTTTCCTATTATTTTAAAACGTTACTTAACATTAAACCATTAGGATGAATTCAATTCAATGATTGTTGGTATATCTGACATAATTGATGTTCGGTCAAACTGGTGAGACCAAACCAGCCGCAAATAATGGATAAGGTCAATCATATTAATAGTTACCTGTAGTATTATAGTGTCGAACCCGAGAGATTTAAGCACTATTTTGATTAATTACGGATGAACAACTAAAAATCTAGGGCTTGCTACAAATGTTATCATCCACTGTGCTTGGGTTAATATAGCCTAATAAGTGTATTGATTTGAGCAATTTCTTCACAATGCAATAATCTTTGTTATCTTGTCAATAATATATCCAAGTAATCTGACGGTCAAACAGATATGATTTACGTACTTGTTCAGTCCTTTTGGTCAATTGTCACCATCATAAATTACCTAGTGAAGTGAACAACACAAAGTTAAAGCAATTAAAAAAAAAGTTAATAGTGTGGCATTTGGTCCTAGAGAAATTATTCACAATATAATCTTCATTTTGTCCATATATCACTTTAATTTGAAACAACGGCTTTCTTGGAATGTTATTAGAGACATGGTGGCGCTTGAATTTCTCACACTTACTCTAGAGTCTAAGACATGTACTACATCCATGCGAACTATAATATAAGTTATTAATATTAACTAATTTGTGTGTCTAAAAAAAATGAAGTTAAAATCTTGATTTTTTAAAATTTTTCACATATTTCTAATTGTGTTATTGAATGTAATAAATATAACATTTTACTTATTTAAAACAATCTCATTAATTACTCAATAAAGTGAAGGTACAATTAGAAACAATATATAACACCTACCCAATGCCTTATGTTTTGGACCAAACAAAGCCTATAAAAAATGACTTATTGAAACGGAAAAATAAAAGAGCAGAAACGGAAGTCACATAATGGAGCACAATAAACTCATTGTAACCTCCCCTTAATTCTTGTAACCTCCCTTTTAATTTGTAAGCTTCAGTTTCACGATCCCAGAACTATAAATGAGGCCCTTGTGGCTGTGTAAGGAGCTCAGTTTTTTGAAAAAATAAGAATTGCTTGTTTTCATTCAGTCTCTGTGCCATTTTGGTATCAAAGCAGATCCAGAGAGCGAGAGATTGAGTTACAGTTGAGAAAGTACGCCAGAGAAGAGAGAGATTCAGTGAAGGAGTCCCTGACGTCTTTGCGTTTTGCAATCCAGGCGTTTTCTCGAAAAACTAACATCACCATCATGCTTACGAGGTCCGAAAATGTGGAACAGGAGGTTCCCCATCACTGGAAACAAATCCACGCGCCGTCACGCGCTGCCATCAATATACCACGCGCCTCGCCGCTGATACGCGCGCCATCCAAAGGTTAAAGACGCTGACGTCATCTGCCACGTCATCTCTCTGACCGGTCAACGACAGGTCAACCCAATAGTTCTCTGCCACGTGTCACTGTCGCTACGTCACTAACCCCAGTCAGCCATATTTTCAAAAATTACATTTTTGCCCTAATATTTTTCAAAATTCCATTTTAACCCCTAAGCTTTCCTAAAATTACACTTCTGCCCCTTTATTTTACCTAAATTCCATTTTGACCCCTATATTTTTTATAAATTGCAGTTTGACCCCTCATTTTTTAGAATCTCCATTTTTCCATAAACTGTCCAAAATTCCCATTTTGCCCCTAGCCTTTCCAAAAATCCCATTCTATCCCTATATCTTTTCAACGTTTCCATCTGTACCCCAATCTTTCCCATATCCCTAGTCTTGACACCTATCCAAAATGCCTCCAAGACGGGACAAGTGCACGAGGTTGAGATGGAAGAGACGAGGCGTAGGATACGAGAGTTGGAAGCCACTGTGAAATTGCAGCAAACTCTGTTAAACAACAATAAAGAAAACTTAGAGGAAGATTCGGGAAGCAGCAGTTCATCATCCACTGACAATCGTCACCGTCCATGACAACAAAAATTCTGCCCTAATGATATCAAGGTAGACATTCCTAAATTCGAGGGAAGACTCTAGCCAAATGAGTTTGTAGATTGGCTGTAAATTATTGAACGAGTATTTGAATATAAGGAGATTCTAAATACGCAAAAAGTCAAAATTGTTGCCCTTAAACTCAAGAAAGTCAAAATGGTAGGAAAACCTCAGACAAAAGTGAGAACATGAGGAAAAGTACAAGATTGAGACCTGAGAGAAAATGAAACGCCAGCTCACTAGAAAATTTTTGCCAGATCATTACCACCAGGATAATTTTATCCAGCTGTAAAATCTTTAATAGAGATCTTTATCTGTAAAAGAATATACTAGGGAGTTTGAACAACTCATGATGAAGTGTGACATTCAAGAGAAGGAGGAGCAAACAATAGCTTGGTACCTTACAGGCTTAAACACAGATATCAATCATCCAATCCAGCTTCAACAATATTGGGCCTTGGATGATGTCATTCATCTAGCCATGCGTGTTGAGAAGCAGATGCCCAAGAGATCCACTTTCCAACCTTCGTCCTCTAGGGGTTATCCAGAAGGCCGTAAGGTGGAATTTCAGCAAACCAACTCCTCAATCAAGCCACAACCTACTTCTCTGCGTAAACCACCACCCAATATTACCAAGGAATCTAGTTCTAAAGCAGTCAAATGCTTTAAATACCAAGGATTTGGCCACATTGTTGCAAACTATCCTACTCGAAGGGTTGTCACCATTTGGGAAGGATCAGAGTATGAAGCACTTGAAGAAGATGAGGAGGATGCTGAGTTTTATGGCACTAATCTCGTATATGACGAGGAGGTCACACCTGCTAATCAAGGAGAAGCATTGGTGCTTAAACGAAGTCTGCGTACAATAGTAGTCAAAGAAGAACCTTGGTTACGACGCAACATTTTTCACACTCATTGCACGGCCCAAGGAAAAGTTTGTAATGTCATTATTGATAGTGGAAGCTATGAAAATGTAGTATCTGACTATATGGTGGAGAAATTAAAGTTGCCAACACAAGGTCATCCATAACCTTACAAGCTTCACTGGCTCAACAAAGGGAATGAGGTAAAAGTTTCTAAACAAAGCCCTATGACCTTTTCTATTGGGAATCGATATTGTGATGAAGTTTTATGTGATGTTGTTCCTATGGATGCATGCCACCTTCTCTTAGGGAGGCCATGGCAATATAACCGACATGCTATGCACAATGGGCAAGAGAACACCTATTCTTTTACAAAAGATGGTGTCAAGTTCACACTATCGCCTCTACCACCCAGTGAGATTAGCCAATCTTTAAGGGAATCTAGTGTCTTTAAGCCGTTAGTATCTTTGATGACTATGGAGAAATTCAAGGTTTCGAAATTCGGAGCCCAAATGATGAGCTTTATTCTTATGCTTGAAGTAAACGACGAGACGGCCAATCCACCTGGAGTCATTCCGCTATTGTCAAAATTTCCAAATGTAATATCTGATGAGATACCACCTGGATTGTCTCCCATACGAGACATACAGCATGCCATTGCCTTCGTTCTAGGAGCAGTCATTCCTAACAAGCCTGCTTACAGGATGAGTCCCCAAGAACATGCTAAAGTCCAACGGCAAGTTGAAGAGTTGTTGAAGAAAGGGTTGGTTCGAGAAAGTATCAGCCCTTGTGCTATACCTATTCTTTTAGTACCTAAGAAGGATGGAAGTTGGAGAATGTGCAGTGACTGTTAAGCCATCAATAAGATCACTATTAAGTATCAGTTTTCGATACCTCGGCTTGATGATATGCTAGACCAGTTGCATGGTGCCATTACTTTCTCCAAAATTGACCTTTGTAGTGGGTACCATCAAATTAGAAGTCAGCTAAGAGATGAGTGGAAGACCACTTTCAAGACCAGAGATGGCTTATATGAGTGGAATGTGATGTCTTTTGGGTTAACAAATGCCCCTAGCACATTTATGCGCCTGATGAATCAGATATTGAGACCCTTCATTGGTAAATTTGTTGTTGTGTACTTTGACAAAATTCTTATTTACAGTAAGAATTAAGAGGAGCATTTAGATCACTTACGGTAAGTTTTGCAAGCCTTGCATGAACAGAAAATTTATGCAAATCTCAAGTGCACCTTCCTCACCAGCGAAGTTGTGTTCTTGGGTTACATCATTACCACAAAGGGTGTTCACATTGATCTAAGCAAAGTTACAGCCATTAACAGCTGGCCAATTTTAAAATCTATCTAGGAGGTTCGAAGTTTCCACAGATTAACTTCTTTCTACGGGAGGTTCATCTGTAATTTTGGCTCAATTGCTGTACTGCTTTCAGATTGCACTAAAGGAGTGAAGTTTTAGTGGACAAAGCAAGCTTAGAAAAGCTTTGAGGAGCTTAAGAAGAAGTTAACTGAAGCTCCAATCCTAGCTCTTCCTAATTTTGACCAAGTATTTGAAGTTAGTTGTAGTGCTTCTAACATCGGCATTAGTGCTATCTTAAGCCAGAAGGGCCATCCTATTACCTTTTTTAGTGAGAAGCTCAATGATGCCAAGCTTAGATATTCTACCTATGACAAGGAATTCTATGCCATTGTTCGAGCTCTCCAACATTAGAGTTATTATCTCCTGAATAAAGAGTTCATACTTTTTTCTGATCATGAGGCTCTCAAGTATTTGAAGTCCTAGCAGAAGATCAGTTGCAGACATGCTTGTTGGAGTGAACTTTTACAGTCTTATCCATTCCTTATCAAACATAAGGCTAGAACTCTGATCTCCATAGCTGATGCCCTTAATCATCGCCATGTGCTACTTATAACACTACAAACCAAGGTTGTTAGATTTGACTTTGTGAAAGAGTTGTATCAGGATGATCCTGATTCTTGAGGAGTATGGGAAGTAACTGTAAATCAACCTTTCCACCAGTTCTACAGACACGATGAGTTTTTATTTCGAGGTAAAACCCTCTGTATTCTACAGGGTTCCTTAAGAGAAGCCATAATTTGGGAAGCACATGACGGTGGATTAACTGGACATTTTGGATGAGATAAAACAGTTGACTTGATAAAGGAGAACTTTTACTGGCCTCGACTTGAACGAGATGTCAACAGGCATATACAAAGATGCAGAATTTGTCACTTGGCCAAATCTAAGGGTCAGAATACAGGATTATACATGCCTTTGCCAATTCCAGAAGCACCTTGGGAAGATATAATTATGGATTTTGTTTTGGGTATACCACAAACTCAGAGGCAAAAAGATTCTGTCGTGGTGGTTATAGATCGTTTCTCAAAAATGGCCCATTTCATTCCATGCCAGAAGATTAATGATGTTGTTCAAGTAGCAAACTTATACTTTAAGGAGATTATGCATCTTCATGGCATTCCAATGACTATTACTTCTGACTGTGATGTGAAGTTTCTCAGCTACTTTTGGCGGACACTATGGAAGAAGATGGGAACTAAGCTCCAATTTAGCAGCTCTAGTCATCCCCAGATAGACGACCAAACTAAAGCTATAAACAGGATTCTTGGTAATCTTCTTCGTAGTTTCATAGGAAAGAATTTGAAGCAATGGGATCTCATTCTTGCTCAAGTTGAGTTTGCTTATAATAACTTTGTCAACCAAGTAATTGGGAAGTGTCTGTTTGAAGTTGTTTATGGCACTCATCCCCTTAGCCCACTAGACTTGACCCCTTCACTTGATAAACAGCAATATAGTTCTGATGCTGACCAAAGGGCTAAGGAAATCAAGAAGTTACATGAACAAATTTGTGCACAAATACAAAAGCAAAACTTGAGATACAAGACTCAACGTGACAAGCATCAAAAGTATCAAACTTTTAATGTGGGTGATTTGGTTTGGATACATTTACAAAAGGAATGATTTCCTAAACAATCAAATGCTAAGCTGTCCCCGAGAGCTGATGGTCCGTTCAAGATAGTGCAAAAGATCAACAACAATACTTACAAGTGGAATTACCTGATTCTTACGGTGTATCTGCCACCTTCAATGTTACTGATCTATCTCCGTACGTTGATGAATTTGACTTAAGGGCAAGTTCTGCCCAACCCGAGGAGGATGAAACAGAAAAATAAAAGAGCAAACACGAAAGTCACATAATAGAGCACAATAAACTTTTTGTAACCTCCCCTTAATTCCTATAACCTCCCTTTTAATTTGTAAGCTTCAGTTTCACGATCTCAGAACTATAAATAGGGCCCTTGTGGTTGTGTAAGGAGCTCAATTTTTGAAAGAATAAGAATTTCTTGTTTTCATTCAGTTTCTATGCCACTTATATTGTGATTTAAAGGGTATATGTTATTAAGTTATTTTATTAGTGCATGTTGACAATGCTCATATTTCATATCAAGGAAGCCATGTTAGTTGTTAATAAAAAAAATCCAAAGGGATTAGAGTAGATGGCTATAAGGAAGAGTGTATTTAGGCAAATTTGGACCAAAACTCTATTTTTAAAAAAAATTAAAAAAGTGGGCCCACCCCCGCCATGTGAGGGCAAGAGGGAGCTGAGAGGGGGAGCACCAAGAAAGAGTCTCTCAATAAAGTTAGGATATTTAAGGTATAATATGATTGTGATATATGCAAAAGAGTTTTCTTGCACTAATCCTATGTTAAAGGATTTCTAATCCATAATGCTAAGTTGTTCAAATATGAGTTGACTTAAGTTAATGTGAAAAGTCTCTTTTAGATAATTTAAATTGGGTTCAACAATTAATATATAATAAAAAGAGAAGAATCTATAAACTTGAACCTTAAGACTTTAAATTAAGATGTGTCACTTCATTACTTTTCCTAATTTGTTCTCTCCCTCTATTTTTGTATGGTTGCTTCTCATTTTTAAAAGATGGTATTAGAGTTAGGTTTTGTCTGAGATTTGAAACCTTATTACTACACACACATTTGAAACCCAAAATAGGATGAGTCATAATTGCAGTAAGGATTCGTGTGCATTGCACCATTTGAAGCCTGAAAATGGGGCTAGTCCTGATTGCAAAAGTATGGACTTGCTATTTGTGATATCTTTGATATGGACATTTGAGGGGGACATTGTAAGGTGTCCAAATGGGTTTTTCTTATTCTTTTGATTATCTATTTTGATAATTACCACACTAAGATGGAAAGTGGTGGGTCTTGTTACTTCTATTTTGCGTCCTTCGTCCTTAAAATGTCATGTTGTATGGAAAGGTGACCTGGGTGAGTATAAGATGGAAATGTGTGGATCCTCTCGTTACCTCTAACATTGTGGACTCTCCAATGGTTTTCTTTTTAAAAAAAAATCGTTCAAACAATTTTTTTATATTGTCATTCTTAAAACTTGTTCTTAAATATAGGTCTTGTAAACAGTTTCATGAAAAAAAAATTGAAAACATAGTCAAACAAGGCCAACTTTTATCTTTTTATTAAATAAATAAAGGGAATTTATATAAATGTCGATATAATTTTAAAAAAAAAGAGTTAGATATTTAGTCTTATATGTTTAATATACTTTTGTCTATTCAAATCAAAACAAGTAAACTTTAAAGTGTTAATAATATTAAAAACAATATTTTTTACAGAATGAATAATATATCAAAAAATCTACATATCTTAAGTTTTCTGGTAGATTACATATCTTGATTTGAAAACAAATATCTTAAGTAAGTATATATATATATATATATAAGGCTTAGTGTATAAGATTTTCCCCCTTTTTTTAATAGTTGAATTGGTTTTTAATACATTTCTCTGTTTATTTTTAATAGGTAAACATATGTAATAACTCTTTTACCATATATATATATATATATATGTATGTAGAGAGAGAGAGAGAACGGTAAAGAAAAAAAAATTTCATTACAATTAAGAATCACAGTCTTTGATCGAAATTTCTATAATCCAAGGGCCTAAATTATCATTACCTTGCTTATATATCTCTTATCTGTTGTTCTAACCATATTCCGATTAATTAATGTATCGGACAAACAACCAATAATCATCAGTTGCTTGAGTTCCTAAATAGTCTTAGTTCATATATTTGAGCAAGTTTTAAATTCTCTGAAAGTAAGATTAATAAATTTATGTGAAGTTTTCCTCTTCTCGTGTTTTTGCTCATTTTATTATTTTTTTATAAAACATAAAATCTTCTCTCTCTCCAGTTAAAAAAAAAGGTAACCTTCATGAAATTCGCGGATTCTCAACTTTAAAGAATTTAAATCCAAAAGAAAAAGAGGTTGACAATGTAATTAATTAGCTAGTGCACTAATTTTTGTTTGGATGGTAAGCCCAGGCATTTATGGAGCAAACTCCACGTGGTAACTTTGTGTTTCTTTGGAGAAAAATATAGCCTTTCATTCCCCAATCTTCTCCCCACGAGTTCTTCACGATCCAATAATCTTTGCCATCTTTTGAATCATATCCAACTATCAGAGCAATATGATTTGTATTGGTTGAATCCTTTGGGCAACTGTCACCGTCATAAATTCCCTGGTGGTGAAGTGAAAAAAAAAAAATAACTAAAGTGATTTCGAGAGAAAAGAGTAAAATACACACAAAATTATTGAATATAATGAGTGTTGAGAGAAAAACTTACACTATGATAGAATTGAAAATCTGTGGCATTCAAAGACACAGTAATAGGCTGCTCAGTGGTGGCACACAGAAGAGCATTTTCCGTTGGGGCTACTTTTGTATACCCATTAATTTTCACGTCTCTATGTCCATTATGCTTCAGAAAATTTCAAATTAAATGAGAACCCACAAATTAGTCAAAGAAAAGATATCAAGATCATGTTTGCTAAACTATAATATTATTCTTATCTTAAAGGAAGTGTTATAACAACAACAATAAACCTTATCTCACTAGATGTCTTCAATGGTGGAGCCACGTTGAACCCAAGGGGGCGGATGCACCCCCTCAGCTGGGGTCATGCACCCCTCATCTGGGGTCAGTTCAATATGTGTGATGAGGGAGAGAGAAACTTGAAAGTGTCTAAATGTTAAAAGTCATGCCACATAGGAAAGAAATATGGAATTGTGCACCTTGTGTGCACCTTGCATGGTTTTTCTGCTGCACTGTGTTTGACAAAAAAGTTACTTAACTTGCAATAATCACCTCCTTTCTATTCATTTCACTAAATACTTTTTATTTTATATTAAAAATGCAAATACTTCTTTTTATAACTAGATTGTGTAAGATTTAAGCTTTTATGGCTTCTATTATTTTGATATTTTGCACACCCTTATTATTTGACAGCCACCTAGTCTTGATTATCCAAATATATTTAATTCAAATAGCTAGGTTTTTCATATATACTATATATATAGATGTGCGTTCTAACTTACAACCTAATAAACTTTAAACATAAATTGTAAACTCACTAACTCGAATATGCCATTATTTTTTTTTATTTTACATATATCAAATAAAAAAAATCTTCACAACAAGTTTTTTTAAATTATTTAGTTTTTTTATTTCTCATATTCAATGTTTTTAAAAACATGAAATCACAACTATAAGATATAAAATTAAATTTTAATTATTAAATTTTATTTTTAAATATTTTTAAATTATATTGCACCCCCTAAGCTAGGATCCTGGCTCTGCCACTAGGTGTCTTAAAGGAAGTGTTATGTTAAACAATATTTATCCGTAAGTTATCAATCAATTTATAAGAAATGATGAGTTAAATTAAAATAAAAACAAAGAAATAAAATCAAAAATAGAAAATTAGCCGGAACAAATTTGGACAACTAAGTTCATACTAAAGAAATTAGAAGATATACCCTTTTGGCAATACAGGTACCGTTTTTAGCAAAGTAAGGATAATCAGATTCTTTACTGATCCCACCATTTGTGATAACCCACTCAAATGCACGAAAGGACCATCCATAAACACAACCTTGGCTTATGTGGTCACAATCTATGAGTTCTTGTTCTGAAACAGAAATAAGTTTCCCTGTCTTTATTGCATTTATTGATACCATCGCTCCCGTGGCTGCAAATGCCCAACAACTTGCTATACAACACCGTGAAACAAATATATTAAAATTGATATAAATATAATTATGGGGAAAATAAAATATAATTCTGTCCTATTCATATGAGACCCCTCCCATTAGTCTTTAATATATATAAGACATTCCCAAAGTTGAATCTTACATGGATAATATGTAAGATATTCCCAAAACTTAATGTAGAATTTTAGACTCATTTACAAAAAAAAAATTGCAAGTCTAACCATCTCCTAATAATTGTGGGAAAAGACTTATTATTTTTGGAAAATTACAAAAAAATTTACACTTTTAAATGATTTAACTGTTTGTCCTTAATATAAGTAAGGCACTCAAAAAGGAGTGGAGGAAGTATTAAATTACACAATCTTCTTTCAAGTATTGTTAAAATTATTTGCTCTCGTCTTATATATACAAGTTACCTTCTAGAATAATTTTGTGGTCTTAAATATAAGTCATTTTACAAAAGCTTGTTTGGCATTAATAGCTTTATTTCAAATTTGCCCTTCCTCTCATCAACTTCCAATATGAGGAGACAAAGAATGTTTGTTTTTAAATATGGTCCTTTGCAGGGGTAAAAAGGAAAATCAAAACAAATTTTAGACAAGTGCAATTATATAACTAACTTTTCTTAGTTATTATGAGTTAGTTATAAATAACTTATAATTAATATCAAAGTGAGTACATAAATTATGTCTAGGGTGATTGTTTGATCAAACATACTTACCACAGTTCTTTTGGTTTTTAACTGGAGTCACAACTCCTTTCTTTCTCCAATCCATGGTAGGAGGTGCTGCGCAAGAGAACTTCTTCTTCTGCGGTTTACTTGAGCTCGTGATGGCGGCGACCGCGTCCGCAGAAGGCATCTCTATTTGGTGTAGGTACGTGTCTCTGAACTCTTCAGTACTCATATCAGCAAACTTGTTGAGACCCAAACGATGGTCAGAGAACGAGTTTGACCTCTTAGCATTCGTCTCTGTAATGTGCTTTAAATTCCTCTGGAATATCTGGTACCTAGCTTCTCCCTCTTCAAAAGTTGTGTAGATTTTTCCATGATAGTTCCTCCATAGTGGGAACAATCCATGGACTTGTCTTTCATCTGAAGGGAACTTGTCCAGATTAGGACCTAAAATATATTCTTGAGAAGGAAGCTCAAAAGAGACACGTATAAGAACAGAACCCCAGATCAAGGAATTAAGAAACAACCTAGTATTGCAGAAAACCATGCTTATTGTTTGTTGTTTCAAAGTACTGAGAGTTGAAACATCAAATCAGCTTGCATGGACAAGGAATCAATGATGAAGATTGCGTGTATATATATAATTCTTTGAGAAAGATTGTTTATATATGGAATATTCATTCGTTTGTCTCGTTTACTACAGAATTTCTTTATTTTATCATTTATTTTAGTGAATTCCAATAAGCTAAAGGTAATGTTTTCCATTCCATGCAATAATACCAAGAAGGAACTGATTCCCACCTATCTCAAATCGGCAAAATGATGTTGCATGTGTGTGCGTGTGTGAAATAGAAACAAAGAATAGACGATAAATTTAAAAAAGAGAAATATTTTATATTTTATGCAGGAATCTTTCATGGCCGAATGTATTTTGGTTAATTCCAATATATCGTTGGCCTGGTTTTAGAACAATGTTTTTCGATGACTTCATAATTTAATTTAACTAAACCAGTGTGCTTTTCAAATATTTTAATGGAATGCCATGGAATGTGAATTAACGCTGTAAAGAAATGCCTCCTGAAATTACAAAATCTTGACATCGGCCAAACTATTTTCTTATGAAGTTAATCGAGGACAACATTAAAAGTCAAATTTAGTTAGCGCTTACGAAAATTAGTAAAAGTTTGCTAATTGTAAAAAAAAAAAATTATAACTTTCCAAAATTACTCAAAATCAAATTAAATCCATTATTTAAGCTCAAAATAGTGATAAAGATAATGACATTTTTAAAAAATGACTCACAAATGTTTCATTAAATTTTGTAAAAGAAAATCATATATTAAGAATCAATGTGTAGGATAATATAGAGAGAGAGAGCAGATAGAGTATTTGTCAAATTCCTTCTTTGACTTCAATTTGAGATCAGGAAAATATAGAAATTTCATAAATTGAAAAAGTTGCTCTAACTAAGATAGCACAAATAATTGATCTTTTCTTTCATAATTTTCTCAGCTTATTTTCTTCTCATTCAAAGATGAAGCTATCACGTGGCCTTGTAACCACGTTGCGGCATTTCAAGAAAGATGGCCTTTAAGAAATCAAAGTAGAGTGGAAACTGTGCCAATACAAAACATGTGACAAAGAGGGAAGTCACCACATAGAGAGGAAAAGCAGCATGGTGAAGTTGATCCTTGAGGAGGAAGAAATGTCCAGCACAGAATGACACCAACATGGAAGCAATCGACATAAGCAACAATGTCAAACCTAAGAGTAACTTCTTGGGCAAGTCTCTGTAAAAGTCTTGCTCTTGAAATCGAGATGTGAGTAATGATAGGAACGTCACCACTGCCATGATGGAGCAGCATAAGGCTATGAGTGATGAGATGGCAAACGCTTGGAATGCCGGCTCCTTTTTGAGCACTGGATAGCCGGAATCTTGATTGATGCCGCCAGGCACAGTGGCTGATGTAGCGAAGGCCACCGTAGCAATTAGCGCGGCCACAACCGAGCAGGATTCTGCAGCTTTGTTTAGCCAGTCGCCACCACTTTTCACAAGGCCCTTGTGAGTTTTGGTGAAGACTTCTTCTGGAGTTTCGTAATTAGAGTTGTGTAGTGGAAAGAAACCAAGTGGCATTGTTGATTTTACAAACTGCATATCCAATATTATTAGATGTAATTCAGAATTAAATATGAAACCAGAAGTTTCGAAAATAGAAAAAAAGAAAAAATATATATTTGGTGGACTAATTTATCTTTTATTATATTAAATTCCTATTGTATGAAGTTTTTTAAGATACGTGTTTGGAATATTATTTTAGCCAACCTATTTATTTAAAAATTTTTAAAAATATTAAATAAATAAATTTAAGTAACTAAAAAATTTAAAATATAAATTAAAAAGGTAAAAATATATCTATTAATTTTTTTTGATAACATTTATATTTAAAGAGAGGTATTTTGGTCAAATATATGTAATTCAACAGTTAACTAATAATTAGGTAGATGAAAACAATTTTAAGGCAACGTGGAGTAATTGATTTTTTGTTAGTGGCCAACTACAATTTGAAAGGAGGACAAGGGCAATTTTAACATAAAGGTAGGTGAAGTTTTTGCTAATTTAGTTGCCCCCACTTCTCTCAACGTAGGTAAGTACGCCCTGCTATTCCTCCTCTGATGCTTAAAATGTCAGCCTTTCATTTAAAAGAATTAGGTGAAATTTCTGTGACCTAATTTTGAGCATTAGAAGGGATAGCAGAAAGTGCAACAGAAACCCCCAAATCAAAGGGCCAGCTATTCTGATCAGTTTCTCACCCTTACCTCATACCACTTGATTTCCCATTGCATTTGAAGAGCTTCGCCGGGAATGAGCAAAGGCCTGTAGTCACCGAGTGTGGCTGCCAAGTGCAATGCACTGTTACCCTCCTTATCTACCTGACGAAACATGCTCTCTGTATACAAGTTCTTATCCATCAACAACTTATACACTTGTGTTTGCCGGTGTTCTACTGCCAGTAACACCATGTTCTTCTTATCTCCATTCTCCTCGTTAATAGCCTCCGGTGTAAATTCCAGAATTTTCTCTATTATCTCCATCAAACCGTTCCTCGTAGCCACTAGTAGCGGCGTCTCCATCGCCCCACGGCCTTCTGTAGTAGGATTTCAATTAATGTGAGATGCAATCTTCAAAAGCTTTAAGGTTATTCAATCTTTTTACCTCTGTCCTTTATGTTGCGGAGCTTGTTGCCTTCATGAATCCAGTTACCTAGTCCGTCCGATTCTTTTCTCATCGGAATAAATTCTATTTCATCGTGGTCCAAAGAAGAGGAGTCGTCCTCCCAAAAATAGCTGTGATAGAAAGACGGCACATCTTAACCCAATCTCAAAATTTAAGTTTATGAATTTTTTTTCTTTTATTTTATTATTAATTGTTAAGGTCAATTTTTATCTGATAGATTTCCCACCCCATCTTAACTCCACTCATATTTTGATATCTAACAGTAACATTAATCAATCTTCTTACCTTTGTCTTTTATACAATCTCCATTCAAACTCTCCCCAAGTCATACAAAATATAAATCAGCCTTTTTACCTCGGTCCTTCATGCTGTCGATCGAGTTTGTTTGTTGGGGCAGCGATGCTGAGAGGTCTCATAAAGCCTTCGTTGTCTACCGGTTTGATGCCAGGGCTTTTGCCTTTCACTGAAGATAAGCTGAGGGGTTCGCACCCATTATTCTTGTACTGATACAAGGAAGCCCTACAAAGAAGTTCCTCAACTATTTGGACGGACCATGTATGACTCTCCTTTCGTTGTATCTTCTTAAATCCGTCAGATTTTAGCAAGAAATATCCAAAGCCTAATAGGCATAAATCGAGCGTGTCATGTGTTGCATCATGTTTAACATGGAACGTGTCAAATATACACAATAAGTTAGCTAGCATACCCTTGGCAAAGAACTTGATCAAATCGCAACAGGTTGTGTAATTAGCTGGAAATAATGGATTCTCCGGCTTACCCCCATGGCCAGTGATGAATCTTGAGTTTGCCACTTCTTCCGGATCCCCCACTTTGTCTCCATCAACTTCATCTCTTTTTCTTACAACCTTATCAACTAGAGGTTGCAAGAAGCTGAAAACATTCCAACATGTATCCTCGACAGTATTTGGGCAACTTTGTGGTTCATATGTTAGTTGCACCTTAAGCTCTTCAACGATTATACCTTCCCAGGCCAAACCGAAAGACAAACAATAAGGCATGTATATTGGTATAATATTACTACATAATAACTACAAGCTAGGGTTCTGAAAAAACGTGTAAGTGAGCTTAACACCACGTTTAACGTAACCCAAAATCTTAAGTATTAAATTTATGTGTTTTTTCTACTTATATATTTCTTTTTCAACTCAATGTCATTCGATGTAAGACTTTTCTCCATATCAAGTCAAGCCAACTCACACTTAACATCCTAATAGAACCAAGTAGATTTCCATGATAAATGCAGGCTTACAGTTATAAACGATGGTCTCTATTCGTCCTAGGCGGCTTCCACTTCTGAAAGCAGAAGGCTTCATTGCTAGCAGATGGAGAGGAGATAACCCAACCTCGTTCACACAGCCCACAAGATCTGGATACAGGTGAATTATTTGAAATGCAAGATCTGCAGCCAATATACATACATGTTTGTGTATTGAATTAAATGATGCTGTTATAATGTTCATGGAATTATAAACAGTTGGGAATGAATTTACCAAAATGGTCTCCGGCTATTGCACAGTGAAGACAGGTGTCGCCATTGTTCCTTCTACAGTTAACATAGAAGGCAAAAAAGACGTGAGGATTTTGCGCATAATGAAGGCAAAGAAAAGCTTGTTTTTGGCCATAAAAAGAAGCCAAGAAGAGAGGTGTTTCGCCCTTGACGTTACGCTCATCCTAGTGAAGGGTGGACGCTAGCAATTATGTGACACATTCTGTCATTCCCATTTGCAGCAGCTAAATGCAATGCAGTGTTCCCTCCAACATTACGAGATCGCAGAATTTCTCTAACACCATAATATCTGCTTATTTTTTCATAATGCGTCACAATATCCAGTATCTGCTTCACCACTTCCTCGTTCCCATCAGATACTGCTATCTGCAACGCAGTGTTTCCTGACAAGCCATTAAATCTGACCTTGAGAAGACTTGGATCATCCTCGTACATCTTAAGCACCTCCTTCCATTTTCGATGAACAACAAATCCGCACAGTCGTTGTTCTTTTTCCCGCCTGAGCTTCTTTTCTTCCGCTTCTGGACGAGTATAGTGCTCCATAGTTTGATGAGTTAGTTCGATGTATCCGTGACTCATGGTTTATAAAGGCTAAGAAAGGCATCATTAATAGCTTACAATTGGGCAAAAGCTTGCTTGGTTATCAAGTTATTCCCCGACCAGATGAAGGCGAAAGATGATAAAGAAAAAGAGAAGAGAGGAAAGGAGGAACGTTTACTCTGGAGATTAACGTTTGTGCAACAATGTGCTTCTGCCAAGCCTATAAATCACATCCCCCAACATATATATAAACACACAATAGGATAAAAAGATAAATTGGCTCTTAAATTATAGGTACAAAAGTATCTTGGACTTTAAATTCATTTTTAGTACAATTATTTCCTTAAATTTTTGAAATATAATCAAACCCCTATCATTAATAAAAATTAATTTTGACTGTTGGTTGAATAAAAAAATTATAAAAAAGGACCAGTAAAATTTTTGGACGTTTTCTATAATGTTTTGGGTCTTATTTGTGATTTATAGGTTTTACACTGTAATTTCTTGTCCTTTTCTCTAATTTTTTAAATCATTTTTTATCATTGTTTTAATTAACTAATTGTTAAAACTAACAATTTGCTAAATGTCAAATTGTACCAAAATGAGTTTAAGATCTCAAATACTTATAAATCAATTGTTTAGGACCCAATTTGTTCATCTATCTTATATACCGCAACAAGTTTCATATCATATAAATATGTGGGGACACTCTTTCACTCCTTTCACTTACTTTTTTTTTTTTTTTGGGCCAACTCACTCTTTTCACTTAATTGTGACTTAGGATTTATGAAAGGAATGAACAGCCTTCTAGGGTTTTTTTTTTAGAATAAAAATAAAAAGCTAAATCATACAAGAAAAGAATGAGTTTCGGTAAGTAAGCCCAAAATACTCGTCTTATGACATATTATATTTTAACAATCTTGTTTTAAAAAGGAAAATATTATGTTTTTAGAGAAAATAATTTTTTAAAAAATGATTGTGGAAAAATATTTTAATAAATAACAAATCTTCTGATAATTTATTATTAATTACAAGTAATTGATTGACTCGTACATTCCGCAGGGACACTCTCTCACTCTTTTCTTTTCACTCAATTTTGACTTGAGATTTAGGAAAGGAATAAGATGTTTCCTTTGACTAGTATGTATCTGTCTTCCCAAAGAAGCCTTCAATTTCTTTTGGAAAATAATAAGAAGCCTTCAATACTACATACAACTAATATTGATTAACTGGCATTAATCCCTGTGCATTTGCACGGTGCCGACAAAAATATCAGTAGAATAAACGGTAATGATAAAATAGAAATTACATTAAATATCATGGATAAACGTCATTGTTTTCATTTTATATTCATCAGGAAATATATAATTTGAAATCTTCTGCCACAAATCATTTGTGTTGCAAATCACTACAGCCTTTAATTTGTAATTATTTGTTTGAAGAAGTCTATGTAATTGATGAAAATTTCATTGTAATGCCTTCAGTATATCTAATGTTACATTGCATTCATTCTAAGTGTAATTTGGCGTGAAATCTTTTGCCACACAAATCATTCGTGTTGCAATAATCACTATTACCAATAACATTAAAAAAAAAAAAAAGAGCATATTGGATGCTTCTTCTTGGAAAGTTATGAGTACAATGGCAACTATGTAATATTACAGACAAATATTGGACTGTTAGTTTAAAAATCATTCAATATGTGTTTAGATTTTTAAGATTTTTAATTGAATTAGATAATGGACAGTTAAATAACATAGCCGTCCAGTTTGGCTAGCTTACATTGGACATTAAATAATATAAACATTCAAGTAAGGACCATGATTTATTATTAAAATTTTAATAATTTAAAGTGTGCAATTGTTATTATGGGATCTCTACTTATCATTTTTCCAAATATAAAGTAAAAATAATAAAGATTTATTTATTTAGATTTGATGAAGAATTAGAGTCTAGATGAATGTATCATTCCTTTTTTTCTCAATTTTTTTCTTTGAAAAATATATTTTAACAATCTTGTTTTAAAAGAAAAATATTCTATTTTTAGAGAAAATAATCTATAAAAAATGATCATGTAGAAAAATATTTTAATGAACATCAAATCTTCTCATAACTTATTATTAGTCACAACTTATTGATTAATACCTAAAAACATACCCACACGTTTGATTCATAGAAAAGTTAGTAATGAAATCGAATGATAAAAAATAAACAAATAAAGGGAGAATTGCGTTCAAAAATCAATACAAAATTATTTATTATTAAAATAGTAACAGAAACTTGTATGTGAATAATTTTTAAAAAAAAATCTTTGAATTCTCCCAAAAAAACATTAATTAAGACTCTCGGAAAGAAAATTATTTATAGTATTTTGTTAATAAAAATAAAAATGAATGTACCAAAATACCCTCAAGTAGAGACAGAAATAACGGGAGAAAGAATGGATAAAGTATAATTGTCTGGATTATAATTCACATGTTAACTAGTCAAAATGACCACGAGAACATGTCACATGACTATATTCGTCTTCTGAGAAAATATTCAATGTGTGCTTGCTCAAAATGCAATACAGATACCATAACCAGAACATTTGCTGACATATTAGCAAATTATTATCAAGTCCAAGCATGGACCATTGGGGGTTCAGTTTCAGTGCTGAGTAGGTCATGAGCACTATTGTGCTTGTCACCAAACACATGAATTAACTAAAAATAATAATAATAAAATCTCTTTAAATTATGTAAATGATAATTTAATCCCTTAAAATATTATAATATTAATAAAATATTTATGAACCTCTTTGTCAATAATTTAAAAAAAAAGATCATTTTATTTTTATTGATAAATTATAATTTTTTATACAATTTTTATGATTTTTTAAAAAAAGTTATAATTTTTTAAATAAAATTTGTGAATAAATTTTATTATTTTAAGAACTTATTTTTTAATAATAGAAATTACACTTGATAAATTATAATTTTTTTCAATTCTTTTAATTTACAAAACAAAAGTTATAATTCCTTTAATAAAAATTATAATTAAGGATTATTATTTTCAGTAAAGGTAAAATAATTTTTTTTAAAAAAAAGTCTTTAAAAACTCCATTAATATTATGATATTTTAAGAGATTAACTTGTCAATTTATATAAGCGGAAGGATTTTATTATTATTTTTTCATAAGGAAGAAAGGATCTTGATGGTTGATTATATTCAATCTCAGCCGTTCATTTATTTATTCCTCTCACCACGGACTTCAATGTTCCCTGCTTCCAAAATCAGTTCGGCATTCACTTGGCCACCTTGAGTTCCCCAATCTTTAGTTCATCTCATTGGCAATTTCTTTCTCCGTTGGATCTCATTTGACGCTTTCTTTATTGGCCATCATCATCGCAGCTCTGGATGTAATTTTGCTCTTTTAAGCATTCCCTTATTGTTTTACTTTTCTCTTTTCACCGCTTCTGATGGGGAAATCTTTGCGTCTTCTTATTTTTTTTTATCAAATATTGATTTTTAGAATTATAATTGTTCATTATTACTAAATTAATGGTCAAATATGGAAATGATTGAACTTTTTTCCCGTTGATATATGATAAATACATCAATGAAAGCTTATTATTACCTTCTCAATCTCTGTCTGTGTGTAATGTTATTATGAACAGTACTTTGACTTGAATTAAAGATGTCTAAATTATAGTTTGACAATATAATCAAATGAGTGTAGCACATATGGTAGCAATTTAGATCCCTAAAACATCAATTCCTGAAGGTATATATAGACAACATCATTTCGGAGTGGACAACTCCTTATTGATGCTCAAATTCTTCAATGATTGGTCTTATAACTGCCGGTTGTGAAGATACCTTGGGAAACAAGGAAAAAAAGTATGACAATATATATTATGATAAAGATATGATGTAATTTATGAAGTTTAACAAACGTTTCTGCGATTTATACAACTATGCTACTTGGTTATGGTGGAAGAGCAAAAAATATACCATGGTGTTTGATTGTGCTGTTAATCAAGACTTGCAGGGTATAGCAAGAGGAGGAGACATTTATAACACATACAAGCAAAGAGGGATATGTGCTATTATCCTATGTCTGCACTCAAAGCTACTGGAATATAGCAAGGAGAGGCTTTTGTGGGTAACATGGATTGTCAAAGTTTAAATGCAGGAAAAGAGGTTCTGTTTAGTTATATTGGAGTGATTTTGTTAGATGTTGTGCCAAATCAACTGTGCAAAAGGGTAGTAATCTGTATAGTGATCTGTTTTGCACTTTGTTTTAGCCAGTTTGTTCTGTGCAAAACGGTAGAAAGCCCATGTTGACTTGACTTTATTGTGTAATCTTTATTGAGACATCAATGAAAGTTGTTGTAACTGTAAGTTACAGCAATTTAAAGTTCATCAAAATTCAAAGCAAAAGAAGTGGCAATGAAAGCAAATTTAATTTTCCAACGTTTCTATGTAGTAAGTTATGGCTTGAAATGAACCAAGAACTAAACCTGCAGCAGTTTATCAATAAGTTATGGCATGATAACAACTAAGCAAATTTCAATAAGTCATGCAGAGCATTTGGAGGGCAAAAAAAAAAAATTGCATTTACTAATAGATTTAATGTGCTCTGCTTAGGGAGGGCAAAGTTATATTTAATGTAGTTCTGGAAATCATTAAGCTTATAAATTTAGCTTTGTGTTCTTTCTTGGCTGTTTATTCTTATTCATTGGTACGACAGATTATAATAAGAATGTTTAAACTATCATAACTTAAAATTTCAGATGATGATTTGTAATTTGTTGACAGTAAGACCCTTCCTTTTGTTATATTTATAATTCTATTCCTCAAATACAAAACCGTGTCTTGACAAATACATATACAAAACTCGTCTTAAAACGCAACACGTTATTTCAAACAGCATATAAATACTAAATAATCTATTTGTTGTCTGCAAATACCTGTGTTTCAGGGAAAGAGGATCCATGAAAAGTAGAAATAGCCTTCTGAGTCCAAAGTCAGAATCTGTCTGTCAATTCTGTGAGAATAGCAACTATGGACGGTTCAAGATAAACCATGTCCTTTTTGCCAAAGTTATCAAGGGATTCTAATGGCAACTATATTGCCACAGTTCACAGTGTATACACTGACTGTAATTCTGTGGCAAACTTCATGCCATGGTCCGAAAAAGAGCAAGCTTTTTAACTTCAGTATTCTCTTAAATTAAACAACTAGACATACAGTATTAGCAAAGAAACCCAAAATCACAAATCAAAAGTAAAGCTCCGAGTGAATTGCCAAAGATAAAACAGAGGACCTCCAATTTCATCCAGAAAAATTGAAACACCAAGTAAATCTTTCGTCTGTCAGGTGAGTGATGTATCAATATAAGAATTTTATCCACCATGTCAACAGTGGCTTGATAGAAGTAAATGCACTTCTTAATTCCATTTCAGGAACTTCAATCCCAGTATGAGCTAGTGGAGAGGTATGAAATTTTGATCCCAAGGCTCTCTTGGCTGGACCACCATCATTTACGAAAGTCATTGAACCAATTAAAACAATTACGGAACGAAAAGCAAAGGATGATTAGCAAAAGGACTCCGAGGAAATATGATAATTATTCATGAGCACGACAATTATTGTGCCTTAACAGGACAAACAAATGAAGTTCTAAAGTGCAGCAATAATCTGTTGCTTTTCAGTTCAAACAAAAGATCTATAAATGCAAGAAGCTAAAGTGATACTGCAGAACAGGACAACCACCAGAAGTAGAACTGGACACATTAGATATTTAAATGATCACCACTCATTATTTGTAAGAGAAACATAACAAGTTATCCTGCAGCAAGATTGTAAAAAAAAAAAAAAAAAAACACACACACACACACAAAAGAAATTAGGCTTGTAGTGTAAAAAGTTGGATTTGAATTTAATAGTCAGGTGTGGAGATGCATATTCGTTTAGATTGTCGAATGTGTCCTAAGTGAGCTCGAAGAAGGTTCACAAGTAAAAATGCACATACAAATCACTCAAAATTTTGCAAATCTTAAAGTGAATCAAACAAGGTGGACCTATTACATCACATATCATGTTACGAGATATTTAAATTGCTTATGCTTAGAATGCCAATTGAAAATTGTCATATTTCCTGTTAATAACAAAAGTATCGTATGAATTTTTGTTTATCTAATTCTCCAATATTCAATCACAAGTTGAATATTTTATTATATTTTTATTTCTTCAACCACCCAGCCAATATCCTCCCTTGCAAGGATCAGATTCAAGATAATCTCATTGTACATACATTAAATTTTACACCAGAGATCTAAAATTCTAGTGTCAAGTGAAACACAAATTTGATGAGTACAAGCAGAGGTCAACTCCTAAAGACCAACTTTTAACATGTTAGTCTAGCTCTTACCCTATGAACGGACAACGAACTTCAATCTTAATCTTCAAATAATGTGTTCTTGTAGCATGACGTCCAATCTGAATCATCTCTTGAAGCAACCAGACCAGTTCCATCAGTGCTTATAGACTCGGCCACTGAACAAGATACCAAACCTGGAAATATTTCTTTGCCCAACCCCTCAATTCTCAGCTCTTTATCATCAGTTTCAGTGGTTTTGACATCACTACTCAACTTTTGATCAAAATCTACTTTGTCATTGACTTTAGGACCATGATAGATTGATAATTCATTGCTATTACAGTCATTAGCAAGTTCTTCTTCATCTGACAAGCACTTGCAACAATCAACGTCATCCATCTCATAAAGTTGGCTCATTAACCCTTCCCTCCATGATATCCTCATTTGGGACTGTGATGCTGTCTCAATTGTAGAACTCGATAACCAAGGAACCTGATCATCCAAAAATTTTGGAAGTTTACAGAGATCAATTGAATCAGAAGGCACAGTAGAACAATCGAATCGGAAACTTGAATTAACAGAATCCTCAAATGGCAAAGACATGAAGCTTGCTGATGGAATAACTTCACCTATGGAATCAAGGTCAAGCTTAGGACCATTTTTCTTCAGATAGTCTCCATGAACCCATGGCACTCCAACATGGATATCTGAACTGGAGTCTGACTGTGGAGTTTGAATAACATTTCCACTACTCAAAGAATTGAGTGAGAATGGAGAGTTCTCTTCAATAGGATTGAGTTGAGAAGTTTTGCCCATTCCTGAGCCACCGGCCATGCAGCTGGATGTTGAATTGGGAGAAAAGAACATGGGTAAATAAGAAGGTGATAATAGGGAATCTGAAAATCCTTGAAATTCAGAGAGCCCACTAGGAGAAATTGAACTAGTTGCTTTTCTCCTGATACAGTAACCCGCACTAGACAAATCAATGCTATCATTTAGGCCCAGAGAAACTCTATGGCCGGATGATGGTGAAGAAATGGAGCCAAGAGCGGTGGACTCTGCTTGCCCCTGAACTTGACTAGCTCCATTTTCAGATGTCCCCGTGACATCTTTATTCCCATTCTTATGAGGTGAACAAACCCAATACATTGAAGCTTCACTTGGCAAAGGCAACAAAGAGGTGCTGACATTGTTGACCATGCCCACCATTTCTTTCACATTCTCATCATCAAGACTATCAGCAGCCACATTATTAAAGTTGGGGTTGTCCTCTCCGACAATAAGAATGCCTCTAGGCCTGCACTTTCTCTTGTCAGTGACACCAGAAACTATATAGCCAGCACCATAACAGGCTGGTGTAGTAGCTGAAGCCAAAGAAGAACCACATTGTATCTCTGGGGAAACAGAGTTTTGAATTGGAGGTGTTTTGCTCAGGCTTGTGTTTGAGTTCTCTTTAGCATCCCCTTCATCACCTACAATATCCAAATCTGAGTCAAATGCTCCTTTACTCAAAGGAGTCAAAGTTACTTCACTATGACAGGATTTGACCTGGGAACACTCATTATCTTTGTCATTTATCCTCTTGAGTCTATCTTCCTGTAGCCTTGACTGTTCAGATGCAGGTGGCAATCTAGGAAGAAAATTGCAGTGGTCATTCAGAACAGAAGACAACTTGGATTTTTGGCCAACTTTAGAGCCAGATTTTTTCCCGGATTGCCACTGGTAGAGGCATGGGGGATTCTTCTTAAATTTCTGAGCCTTCTCGAATGCAAACTTTTTAGTGTGCTCCCCACTATTACCTTTTGCAAAGTTCTCTTTTGCTTTAGGCTGCCTCAAAGGAGGCACATTGGGGATTGAGTTTGGAGTTTTGGAGAGGTATTTTGGTCTACAGGCAGAGGATTTTGAAGAAGGAGAAGGAGAAGAAGCATGGGAGAGGAAAAATCGGAGGCAACCTCTTGAGGCTTCAGCAGAGACGCTGGAAGAATCACTGCTATTACTGCCACTAGAAATGCGGTTCAGATCCTGCAACGGGTTCCGAGGACTCTGCTTCCTCCTTTGCGCTGACTTTGCAAAAGCTCTTGGAGGTGGCGCTATGGCAGGAGGCAAAAAAGGTTTTTTCACTGAAGATCCTCGGCTCATGGTGAACCCTGCAGGTTCTATCTTACATTAAATTGACCTGAATGTGATAACAGACTGCTTGCATAAGGATAACAATTTTGGAACTCTCTCCGATCTGTACATTTTCCATGTAATGTAAGTATACTCAGTTGCACGAAACATTTAGAAGCTAATTCAGACTTTCAGCAAATCAGGTAAAGCAAACATTTTAATGAAGAAAGACGTCTGAATAATTGAGATATCTACAAGAAACTTATTGCAGATGAATGATGTGTTTCATTTAGTTCTTAATAAAATCATCTTGGAATTGTAGTAAAATCAGCTGGACTGAAGTGTAATGTAAGAAAGAAAAATCACATATAAGAAAAGAACACACAATAATAGAACCAAATAATCTTCACTAATACCTTTCCCTTTTTTTTGCCATCAACTAATTCCTTTCCTAATTACATAAAAAAGCTACAAATGGCAGAATCATCATAAATGAGCGGCCGATAAAGCCGTGCCAATTCATTAAAAAGAAATGCACCACAAGAAAATTAGGGAGCACCAGGAAGTCTAAAGTTCACGACATCAAACTTCAAGAACTAAAATTTATAACGTCTTGATAGACATGGTGGACCACTGAAATGTGCTTCATTCCAACATTGTTGAAAGACCAAAGAGAAGATGCAAACATTCTGGGCTGCATTTTTTCCCGAAGAGCCAAACTACTTCAGATCACGGTGTACTAAAAAAGACATTGAAGAAGAGGGGCAGAGGCATAAGATCCTAACACTATTCACCATTTCGATCTACGAGAGTGAAAGAGAAGATGAGAGGGAAAAGCAGAGATCTGAAGATTGCTTACTTTTTGCCAAGCAGTTAGTCTGAAGACGGAAGCGAAAAGCACGGTGCTGATGAAGTTAGAGAGATCGACAATGACGAAGCCGCTGAAAATTCAAACAAGAGATTAGAGGCACCTGGAAACAACGTCGTTTTGTCAAACGGAAAAGAACACAGAGCTCCGCTACCAGTACGAATAACGGTGTCGTTTTACAAAACAGAAACAATTTGTTTTCATGAAAACTAGCATAAAAAAGTATTTATATATCTAACTTTGTATATTTAAAGATATATGTTTCCAGTTATCCAGATACGTGAAGTTTTTATATAACACCGTTGAATAATCACTGAAAATGGTTTCACTCATTCATGCCAAATCATGTACGTTGCTAGTTATATTTTTTCACTCTAAATTATTAATCATATTTAAATAAGGTTTTATTTAATTTTTTTAAAATTTATTTAATATACAGAATTAAAAAATAAAATTCCAAGTCATACATATTATTATACTTTTTTTATTTTATTCTTTATTCTCAATCTGATTTGAATTTTATTTCCCTTTTCTTTTTACAAAACTTTTGGTAGGGTTTTATGGCATATTTTATTTTTATATCTTAACTAGTATTTGTATGATTTCTCACGAAGAAGAATAGTTTGTGCTTATGGGAGAGAGTGAGAGGGATTGTGATAGAGGGGCAGAGGAGATAGAAAGTGAAATTTTTTTAAAAAAAAAATACACCTAAGTTTCATAAAATAATTGATTATCAATAAATTTTATAAAATTCACAAAATATTTTTAAGTTCTAAATTTCACACATTTACAACTTAATAAAAAGCATTTACAACTTGCAATTGTACAAGATTTGAGATTTGAAAGTTTTTTATAAATATTATGGGACCTCTTAATAATAAAATTTTTTTGTGACAATTAAATATAATTTTCTCATTTTTTATCATTGTTTGAGCATATTTGTCTCTTATTTTTTCTCCCAAAATTTCTTTCAATATATCAATTCTCAATTACCACTTAAGGTTTGCAATTATCATACATGTTAATCAAGATTCTGTTTGCAACATCAAACAAAATTATTTATTAGCAGATTTAATTCAATGCACAAAATTGATTAGCTAGAGTGAAACTCTAATTGTACAATAAAATTGCATTAAAACATTTAATCGCACACAAAGATATGCATTTAGATAATTTTTTGGTGGAAAGTATGTTACTATATATGGCAATTTTCCTGACAATTCCAAAAGGAACCAAAGCATTGCAAATGCATACTCCCTCTGTTGCTATATATAAAATATTTTTAATTGAGTTATATAAATCAATAAAAATTGACTATTTAATTAAAAATGCAGCAACATTTCAATTTTGCCGCTAAATAAAAAAATGAATATCTTTTTCAAAAGTTAATTAATGAGACTACCTAATCTTTTTCTCTTTTTAATTTAATAAGGATATAATAGTCCATTCATTAAAAAGTATGTTAAAAATCTCTTATATTAAGGGATAAAAAAATTTTATAAAACTTTTTATATATAGGGACAAAGGGAGTATATACATTTGTTCTTCACACCTTTAGGACAATTGCACAATCTTTCAATTAATGAAGAATATGCAATTGATTTAGCTGGAAAAAATTTTATGGTGGCTCCTGGACGTGGGAGATAATAAACTAGGCCTACCACATGACATGATAGTGTACAATAGAGATTAAATCCCTTCTAATTGTTGATAACTAACTACCCATATCTAATAAATACAACTGAGGTATCAATGTATCCATATCTTTAGAACAATCTATCCAACACTAAGTACTTTAATGATAGAGCCATTCTTGTGCCTATTATTATGAAAATGTTAACCAAGTCGTGATTTCATGCCTTCTCTGACACCAAGTGAATTAGTTGAAAATTTTAGTTGTGATTATGTTTTGAAAATCAACTTAAGATAGTGATTACTACTTTGATGATTATAGACTAATGAATTCTTGAATATAATTGATAGCTCTGATCTATACCCTTACAAACTTACTTTTACTTTTAAAGATGGTTCACCTATCATGCTTCTAAGAAATAGTAATTAAGTTTTTAAATTATACAATGGAACTCATTTATAACCATAACACTAAATCGATCGAATTTAAATTAGAAGGTGCTAATTCATCATATTGATATGAATCCTTCTAAGAGTATATTAATATTTCACATGTAGTGAAAACAACTTTCAATTACTCTTTCTTCTATAATAGCTATTAAAAAAAGTCAAGAACAATCACCACTTCATGTTGAGTTGCACTTATCAAAGACTGTACTTGCTTTGGACCAATTGTATGTTGCTCTTTTGAGTGAAGAGTACGTATGGATTAAAGATTCTTTTGGATAATAGTGACGATAGGCTTAAATCAACAACCACCAATATTATTTATAAAGAGGTTCTTGAGGAATTTGTAATCATCTCAAGCGTCAATTGTACAATCCAATTTTTCTACCCAAATGTGTGCTTATGAAAACGTCTTTCTAAGTATCAAGTTTTTAATGGTGATGATTAGCAATAACATCTTAATTTACGTTTCGATTAACAGGTTTAAATTGTATATGGCACAAGTCTCCCTTTTGGATTATGGCAATTTGATTGCAATGCTACCAAAAAAAAAAAATATTTTCCCCATACGCTACACTTTTAAAAGCATTTTTTCATATACTATAAATTTAGAAACCAGTTTGATGCAAACTGAGTTTCATTTTTTTTTTTTTGATATGAAAGCATGAAACTCTATTTTAGTCAAGCCGAGTTTTATACCTTATAAAAAAAAGTTGATATGATAAGCTGACAGCCTTCTTTTTCTTTTCTCCTTTGTGTGAATAATTATTTATTTTTTTATTTTTTTTAGTCTATTGCTTAGTATCTTGAACAATCTGAATGTATTATCACTTCCTCCATGTGTGATTGTTATCTATATAAATTTGGATATAGATTTTATATTTAAAATATTGCATTTTAAATCTGACATTTAAAATTCATATGTTTAAAATTCTTTATTTGAATAATTTAAAAAAATTTAAATGAAAAATAGAGATAAATTGATATTTGAAATAAAAATAAAAAATTGAAAGTGATATGTTAACTTTTCTTTTTCATTTGAAATTTTTTGAAATTATTTAAATAAAGAATTTTAAACACATGAATTTTAAATGTGAGGTTCAAAATGTGATATTTTAAATATTAAATTCATACCTAAATTTGTATAGATAATAATCACAGGGAAATTCACATTATTTTGAGTAGGCCATGATAATATCTTCAAAGTTTTCAAGATGCCAAATAATATAATAAAAAACAAGGAAAAAGAAATAATTACTCATATAAAGGAAAAATGAGGGAGAAGGTTAACTTCCTTTTTTAAATAAATCAGCATGATTAAAATTGAGTTCCATACTTTTACATTAAAAAAATGAAATTAAATTTGCATCAAATTGATTTCCAAATTTAATGTGCACGGAGGAATACTTTTGAAAGTATAGCATATGGGGAAATTTTTTTTTTTTTTGGCAGTATTGCAGTCAAATTGCCTTGGATTATATTTGACATTTTTTTATTTTATATCTTTAATGACTTTTATCTTAAAAATCCAAATAAAATTAAGAGATTAAATTAAATTCAAATAAAATTAAATACTAAAATAAAATTAAACCTGAAAAATGGAAAGTACCCGTATCAGTTGACGCATAAAGAATATGTTGTATTTTTCATAATTTTTATATTTTTTAAAATATAGTTTCTATATATAATATATAAATACATGTGAACAAATATATGTGCATATATATATACACACACACACACTTCCTATATTTAAAATTATAAGATATTTTTAACTGAATTTTACCTCTCAATAAAGTGATTACCTACTTTTAAACTAACATTATCTTTCTATAGTTATCTCTATTAAACATCCTACAATAAATATAAAGTCATTATTAATATGGGCATTTAAAAAAAAGACAATTATTACATTTTAAAAGATTAAAAATGTCTTATATTTTTTAATATATAACTCTTAAAAAAATTTTTATATTTTTAAATGGAAGGGATATGTTTATAAACATTATCAATATAGTAATATTTATTATTGTTGAAAAAAATCAACATACTATCCAAAATTCAAAAAATTTAATTATAACTTAATTATAAATTTTAAACTATAAAAATAGCAAGGTTTCTCGCGAGTACATGATCGACTTCGACAATTTACTAAATAATATTAACAATTGTTGTTATTATTATTATAATTATTATCGTTATTAAATGTTAAAATATTAAATATTGCAAATGTTAAAACTTAATTTAAATTCTTCTGATTCTAATTTAAATTCAAGACTGGAATAATTTCTAATTAATTAAAAAAATGAAAAAGATAACCAGGCAGAACACAGAGCCAGAAGCCCCAATTCCTTCGATGAGTATTTCTGCTTCTTCCCCACTCTTGTTTTCTTCTCCGACTTCGAAACCTAGCCACCGCAAGCCGCTGCTCGTCTCCATTCTTTGCTGAGCCGACGCCGTTGTTCTGCGTCCAGTTCTTCACAGCGTCAATTCCTTTATTTCCATCTTCGGATTCTTTTCCCTCCAGGTGAGGGTTTTCGGTTTCGCCTACCATTTTCCCATCTGTTCCCATCTGGGTTCCTGTTGAAATTGTTAAACTATTTGTCGACTTGGGTGAAATCAATTTCCGATTTTTGATCCATTGTTAATTACTAGTTGTTTGGTAGTGAAATCAAGTTTTGATTGTTTGGCCCGTTCTAAAATTGGGTTAAAACGAGTCAAGGAAATTGATGTTACGGAATTTGAGCTCTTAAGATATAGTTGTTACTGGAATTGGGTTAGCAAGGTTCTTTTGTGTCGTTCATTGGCATAATTGCGTGGAACATAAATAAAATTTTGTCAATCATCTTATTTTTCTTTGGCTGAGACTAGTGGAGTAGATTCCCAGTTTTCAATCCACTATCTAAATTTCCAATTTGGTTGATTATCACGCAAGATAATACTCATATCCAGATGTGTAACTGAAACTGAATTTGAACTCTTAAAGAGTTCTATGTTTCTTCTTTCAACCTCTCAACATATTCTTAAGCTTCACTTGGACCTACACACTTTTGAGTTTACTCTCCTGATTATGCCGTTCTCTGGTCTCTGTATTGTAAGCAAGTATAAGAAGTGTCTTCTTTTAATTTTATAGTACGTTATTTTGGTTATTGTTGTGTTCTTTGAATTAGTATTCGTACTTTATTCTATTTTATAATTTATTTGGATATACATTTTTTAAAAAAATTCTATTATTCTGGGGTCTCTCTGGTAAGGTATGGAACAGGGAGGGGTTGGGTTGGCCACACACCCTTGCTACCTGCTTTGTCGGATTGCTATCATCAATCCTCTTTCTTTGCATAGCTTGATGAAGAGAAAAATGTTGGAGAATCTCGCATCTTATAATTTGTGAAACAGGGTGTGGTGATGTTGTTAGGAGATAGTGATTTAAAGTTTAATGATATCTTTATTGATTGTATTATTCTACCATGGTTTAACTTCTGCCCATGGTTTTTGGAAAGAGTACTGGTTAGTATTTAATGATTTTGTTGGTAGACCTGGTGATACAGACTGGCGTCTCTTCTTTGCTAATATAATTTTTCAAATTTACATAATTACTTAGTTTTTCTGTTAATCTCTGAGTATCCCCATGAACCTCTGCTTTGCTAATTTTTTCTTTCTAGGGCTCTTGAAATTTGTGTAGGAGTCTCTGCATCTTTTTCTCCGTCTCAGTGCACAGTTATCCAACTTGCCTGTCTTCATCAGGCTGCCATGCAGGGGAATTCATGTTGTGAATCACTACTTTGTCTTTGGAGTTTCCTTTCCTTTGCTGTGATTAAGGTATTATGTGGCCAAATCTTGGAACTCGTAATTCTTTCTGCATTTTTCTGGAGCTTCCTAATTCATGTTCATTCCTTTATCTCTTTCATGAAATGTATTGTGGGTTAAATTTTTATTTTATTCAAGATTAAGACTTAGTCATTTTTTATATTTGTATTCTTCATGCTAGGATTTTGATTGAGATTTATTTGGTGGGCAACCGATTTTTTATTGGGCTATTGGAGCTGCACTTCTTCCGTGAATAAGATTTGGCAGCAGTTTGGTGTTAGGTACCATGGCAATTGAGAAGAACAACTTTAAGGCATCAAGGCTTGATTCTGAGTTTTCACCCCATAGTAGGGAGACTATGTCTAGTGATGAGGATGATCTTCAGCGGCGTAACTCAGCTGTGGAATCTGATGATGACGATGAGTTTGATGATGCAGATTCTGGTGCAGGGTCAGATGACTTTGATTTGCTGGAATTGGGTGAAACTGGAGCAGAGTTTTGCCAAATAGGCAACCAGACTTGCAGCATTCCATTGGAATTATATGATCTTCCTGGGCTTGAAGAAATATTGTCAGTGGATGTTTGGAATGATTGCTTGAATGAGGAAGAGCGATTTGAACTGGCCAAGTATCTTCCTGACATGGACCAAGAGGCTTTTGTTCGAACCTTGACTGATCTTTTTACTGGTTGTAACCTCCATTTCGGGAGTCCCATTAAGAAGTTGTTTGAAATGCTTAAAGGGGGTTTGTGTGAACCAAGAGTTGCTCTTTACAGGGAGGGTTTGAACTTTTTCCAGAAACGACAGCATTATCACCTTTTGAGGAAGCATCAAAACAACATGGTTGTCAATCTCTGTCAGATAAGGGATGCTTGGCTTAATTGCAGGGGATACAGTATTGAAGAAAGGCTTCGTGTTTTGAACATTATGAGAAGTCAAAGGAGTTTGATGTCCGAGAAGATAGATGATTTGGTGGTTGGTTCATCAGATGAAGACTCTGGTGAAGGAATATGGAATAGAAAGAACAAGGATAGGAAGAATGTGCAGAAAATGGGCCGTCAGTCTTCTCATGGGGCAGGTTCTGGTTTAGAATTTCACTCAAGAGGACGATCAGTGGGTATGGAAACAGAAAGGTTTGGAAAGCAAAACCCGAAAGGCATGCTTAGGTTGCCTGGATTAAAGACATCTAAAGCCAAGGATCCAACTGATTACTTGTCTTCTGGGTACCATGGTTTGGATATGAATCCTGGGCTAAATGGTTCAACAAGTGTGTTTCCTCCACAAAAGTCATTGGGCTATGATTCTGGGATGATGATGAGGATGAGAGGTCATATGAGGAACGGTGATGCTGCTGAGGAAATGACATATGAACTTGGTGTCCAACAAGATCGAAATGCATTATGTAGTAAAATGATGGATAAGTCCGGTATTATGAGAATGGGAAAGAGGCATGACCTTCTAAGAAGTGATGAAATAGATAATGACAATATGATGGGTCTATCTTTGTCCTCAAAGGCTGATCTGCATGCCTACTCTCGGAATGCAAACCAATCTTCAGATATGAAAATGTTCACAAAAAAATCCTTATCTACAAGAGGTTCTTATGATTTTTCTAGAAAGGCTAAGTATACTGAAAATGGCCAACAATTTGATGATGATCAAATTAAGCCTAAACTCAGGGGATCTCAGCTCCTACCTAAAGGAAGTCTTGTTGATTCATTAGATCATGATGAATTTTTTGGCAATAGCAAAAACCCAGGAGATGAATCTGCTATGGATTCATCATTTCAGTGTGATGATTGGAATTTGAGGAGCAAGAGGTGGAAGGCAGGGAGGGAGTCTCCTGATCTTAGTTATGCTGCGTATAGATCTTCTTCACCACAAGTGAGTGATAGACATGTTCCCACTGACGTCAGAAAAAAATCATTGCAGGAGAAGGTTAGAGGGGCTTTTGTACAGAATGGAGGACAAGATATGCTGGCTTCAAGAGGTAAGAGGATGCTTCATAGAAGTGAAGAAACTGAATCAGATTCATCAGAACAATTGAATGATGATGAGGATGCTTATCCATTGTTGCAGAGCAAATTCGCTTACTCAGTTAATGATGATTCTCGCACGACAATTTTGAAGTCTCGCCTAGAAGGCAAGGAGGCAAAATTTGCGAAGAAAGACTTCAAGGGACATGGGAAAGCTAAATCCAAGAAGATGGGTTATTTTGGAGAGAATTCTTTGCCTGGTGTAGAAAATTTCCTTTCAAAGGAAAAGAAGAAAGGTAAAATGCGCAAAAGTGGCCCTTTGCCAGATTTTTCCAATAAACTTTTGGAAGAGAGCTATCCCTCAAGTTCAGAGAAGCTTAATGACGGTGATGATGATTGGAGAGAAAACTACAGGTTAGGCAAGAATGGTCGAATAACGCAGGAATCGATTGAAAGGTTAGACATGCCTTTGTCAAATGCTAACAGTTATCAGCTAAAGAAGAAAGGGAAAGGCAGAGCGGAGTATGATCGTTCCATTCTCAGGCCAAAATACATGAATGATTTCATTGGTGATGAGGAGAATGACTCACATGATGCAAGGTTACTGGTGGATGATAATGGAGTTGGTCAGAGCAGATATAGGAGGAAAGGGAAGAAATATGATGGATACAAGGATGACCATTATGGAAAATCTGATGCAAAATTTCTGGCTTGTAACTCAGTGACAAAGAAGTGGAAAGTGAAGGATGATGCGGCAGATCTGGATGGAAGAGAAAGAGATGCCAATCCTCTGTCTAACTTTCAGACTGATGATTCAACTTCCTTCAAGAGAAAGTCAAAGAGAAAAATGGAAATTGAGACAGTTAGTTCAGATGTGGATATTTCTGAACTGCCCATTACAGATTTGGGAACAGCAGATACAGAGCATGATGCAAAACCACAGAAAAAACCATTTACTTTGATTACACCTAGTGTTCATACTGGATTCTCTTTTTCTATTATACATCTTCTTTCAGCAGTCCGTATGGCAATGATTACCCCACTTGCAGAAGACAGTTTCGATGTGGGAAAACCTAGAGAAGATCAGAATACAGCTCATGAAGGTACTATTAACGGTATTCCCTCTAATGAGAAGGTAACTACCAATTCTGAGCTTGCTGGTCAGGTGAGTACTCCTCTTACTGTCCAGGAAATTGTTCAACGTGTCAGATCAAACCCTGGTGATCCTTGTATTCTTGAGACGCAAGAACCTCTACAGGATTTGGTCAGAGGGGTTTTGAAGATATTTTCTTCAAAAACGGCACCATTAGGAGCCAAGGGTTGGAAGGTGCTAGCTGTGTATGAAAAATCTACAAGATGTTGGTCATGGACTGGTCCAGTCTCTCATAATTCATCTGACCATGATTCCATTGAGGAGGTGACATCTCCTGAAGCTTGGGGCCTCCCTCATAAGATGCTTGTTAAGTTGGTTGATTCCTTTGCTAATTGGCTAAAATGTGGTCAAGAAACACTTCAACAAATAGGAAGTCTTCCTGCACCACCTTTGGAATTGATGCAAGTCAACCTTGATGAGAAAGAGAGATTTAGAGACCTCAGAGCTCAAAAGAGTCTTAACACCATTAGCTCAAGTTCTGAGGAAGTCAGGGCTTATTTCCGCAGGGAGGAAGTTCTCAGGTACTCAATTCCTGACCGAGCATTCTCTTATACTGCAGCAGATGGTAAAAAGTCTATTGTTGCACCCTTGAGAAGATGTGGTGGTAAGCCAACATCAAAAGCCCGAGATCATTTTATGTTGAAACGTGATAGACCACCACATGTTACTATCCTTTGTCTTGTTAGAGATGCGGCTGCCAGGTTGCCGGGAAGTATTGGCACTCGAGCAGACGTTTGCACATTAATTAGAGATTCTCAATATATTGTTGAAGATGTCTCTGATGCACAGATTAACCAGGTGGTTAGCGGGGCATTGGATCGGTTGCATTATGAACGTGACCCTTGTGTACAATTTGATGGGGAAAGGAAGTTGTGGGTTTATTTACATAGAGAAAGAGAAGAAGAAGATTTTGAGGATGATGGCACCTCATCAACAAAAAAATGGAAGAGGCAGAAAAAAGATGCTGCAGATCAATCTGAACAAGGAGCAGTAACTGTTGCTTATGATGGGACTGGGGAGCAAAATGGATATGACTTGTGCTCAGATCTCAATGCTGAACCATCAGGTATTGAGGATGATAAGGGAGGAGAGCTTGTGTCTGATGATGTGAGGCTAAATGTGGAGGACAATGTTGATGCCAATCTTGCATCTGAACAAGGCAATGCCGGTCAGGATAATTCAATGGACTGGGAGACAATTGGACTGAACTCAACTCGTGAGAGTAAACTTCTATGCCAAGAGAATTCTGCAAATGAAGACTTTGACGATGAATCCTTTGGAAGAGAGAGGTCTGTTGGAGTATCAAGTGCAAGCTTATTGTGAAGAACTCTTCAGGTAGTTCTTATCAATGTAATTCTTGTACGAGATTTGTTCTATTTTGCACTATGCCGGTGGTGGTGTTTTTTTTTTTTTTTTTGGGAGCCAAACTCTGCTGGTGTTGAAACAATAAAATTTTTGCCTTTTCCTTCCTTTTTTTTTTTGTCTCTGGAAAAGGAAAAAATAAGTGCAAGAAACAGATGCAATATCAAAGGGGAGGAAAAGAAATTAAGCGCATTGCTCAAAAAATAATTTATCTATGACTGTATGAAATTATCGTCACTGTCATATTGTCCTTGAATATTGTATTTGTTTAATATCTTTTGGTCTAGCTATTCACTAACGATGATTGAATTTCTGCCTTGATAATTTAATTTTTGTTTGCTTCATTTGTTGTCTTATAATGACATATAAAGTGAATGAATCATACATAGTAGTAACTCAGAAAAATCGGGAATTCACTTGGAGCTTCTTATTGCTTGTATAAGGTTGGCCTCCTTTTTACAAAGAGGGGCCTAAAACAGTTGCCTTGATGTGACCTGAGATAGGATGTCAAGGGTGTTATGATCTGTTACTTGAACGAACAATTGAAGATCTATGGAGACAAAGTACCGTTTCTTCATGGTTTTTTTCTTTAATTTTTTGCATGGTTTATTTTTCCTTCCCTTTTGTATACCCTAAATGGTCTAGAAATGCTACTCAGATATTGGATACTTCACAAAGACAATCCATGTTTGCTACGCAATTGTAACACTTCAATAAAACCACTAACTTACGAAGTTTACTTGCCACCTTCAACTGTCAAGAAATGTTGCTTGTAATGATGTTTACTTATGCAAAGACATTTATGTTTCTGCAGTCGTCAGCCTACCCGCACTGAGGAGCTCAAATTTCCTTTTTCTAGTTGTGCTTGTAAATATTGCAGGTGCAGTATCATTATATATTAATTTTATTTGGAAGTATAGAATATGTATGTTGTTGAAGATGATGGAATACTATTAGGTGGATGCCTCTGGCTTCACATCCCAAAAATAATTTCTTTTGAATCTCATTATGTAGGATCTGGAGTATATCCTTTTGTACACTGAAGGACCAAGGAGCCGAATCTTACACTGTATTGCTTCACAATATTATTATTTCATCTTGTATATATGATTCAGTTAAGAATCTTAAGATCATGATACTACTACAAATAAGCTTGTGACTTCTTGCCGAAGATAGAAGAGGAGAAAATCTGAAATACTCTCAAGTGAAATAGCCCACTCAGATTTTAAGATGAGATTTGTTACTCATTGCTCGATTGACATTGATATTGTCTGTGCTTGAGAAGCATACCCCCAAAAAAAAAACAAAGAAAAGATAGAAAGTTGTAACTCTGTCAACTTGAGTTCAAATGACCAATCTAATTTTTTTTTTCAACCTCAAAAAAGAATGCATCTCTCTCTCTCTCTCTCCATGTCCTTGAGTTGCAGGTCTTGTTACGTTACAGATTGCTGCAACAGTTTGTGCACAACTTCAAGCTGTTGAGCTATCTTTGAGACTGACCTTGTGAGTAAGTATTCTGTCTTCGTCTTTAATAATTTGTGAGCAAAAGTATCTCGTGTTAAAGGGAAGGTGCTGACTTCCACCGAAGCTCCAAAAGTTTAAAAAAAAAAAACCTAATAAGATCTACACGAGAATGATATTTATCTGTTGTTCTTTCTGAATGAAAGGCCATGACAAAGCCATACATGAGAGAGAAATAGCATCTGGCTACTTATTACAAGATCATAAGCTGGGAAAGGCATATATAGCTAAGGTGGCTTCCATGAGAAAATGTATTCTGATTCTGTTCAATGAGCTTCCTTTGCATGCCAATTTGTGTAGGGAATTGCTTCTTTAAAGCAGTGATGATCGATGTATCACTGTCCAGTTTTGTATTAACTGGTGCCTTGTTTGTTATTTCACTCGGGCATGGGCATTTTTGTTGGTTGTTATCTGTATTAGCAAATAGGCTTGAGCTTGACAAACTTGTGAAAGCATTCCACAGCTCCCTAGTTGTAGCTTAATTGAACACTCTGGAGAAAGCATGCGTAACTGTAGGGAATAAGACGCATAGTAGTCTTTTGAAGCACTATCTTGAGTAGTAGTAGTAGTAACATAAAAATAGGACTTCGTATTTTTTGTTTTTTCATGTGCAAGGAAAATAAAATATCCTAAGGTTTTGGAACTCTGGGGAAAAGATGAGTGATATGGATGGAATTTTTAGTTATGTTTGGATTAATCAGTTTGTAATTTTTATTCCATTTAATAGGAAATTTGATGGAACTATTTGAGTGAAATGGTTCTAGTCAATGGTTAGAAAGATTGAATGGAATAATAATTGTAACATCAAATTTCCTAAAAGTATCTTACAAATTAAAAGATATTTTGATACATTTTATTCAATATATTGTTGTTTGAGTTCTGTTTAAAGTATCTTTTATTGATTAAACAATTAAAAGGTTTTAATTTTTTTTCCTTTTTGCATTCAAAATAGCACAAATGTTTTAAGGTGGAAATAAGTTTTTTTTTTTAACATTTTACTTAATATCTTGAGTTATCATAATTATTTTCTTATTAATATCACTTAATTTGATGAATACCCATATTTATTTTCACACCTTTTTTAGCTCTTCTTGAAATTGGATAATTTCGACATCACAATCACATACATATATTATTTAAAAAATAAGACATTATTCCCAAACTTGAATAAAGGTTAAGGATTGTATTAAATTCTCGATGGCTAACCTAAAATTCTATCAAATATCTATGGCATGTATAAAAAATGCTATTATGTCAATGTCGTCAAGTTAGGTGGTTGAATTGAAAGGAAGAGGGAAAACTAGAGTCATGTAACAATAAAACTATTCGCTAAGAAGTTTTATGAACATAAGACTATGATGCTATATACACATGATGGTAAATGTTTGGTGCTAGAAAGACAAGAAAGAAAATTGTGGTGGTAGATATACTGTTAATGATTGTACACAAGAAATAGTTTGTTATTCATTGAAGGGAAAATGATTTAAAAAAAAAAGTAGTTTAAAAATGATTTGAACATTTGCTCTTTCAGATTCATATTATAAGGCACCTTTTGGAAGGATGCTTGGATCTTAAATATAAAACAATTAATGAAGTATTAATTATATTTTTAAATTTTTTTAAAATTTATTAATTATAAGAGAGAATGTAATGCAAATTTAAAATATTTTTTATTTAAACAGGGATAAAATTGAAATTTTATTATATTTTTTTAAAAAATTAATAACTTAATTATCTTTTCTTAATTTTGATAATGTAGTTACGGATGCTTTATAATAAGAATAGGAAGACGTACAAAGGAGGAGATGGAAAATGACACTAAAAAAGAAAAATCATCAAATGAAATCTTTTGATGATTGACATATATTTGAAAGATTAGTTATTGACAGATCTTAATGCCATCAGAAGATTTATGTGGCCAAGCACAACCAAAAAAAAAAAAAATCATGTGAGTTTGATTATAAACTTATTGGAACTAAGACATGTTTTTAAGTTCCAAAAATATTTATAAAGGCACTACAAATTTCCTGTTAACATTTTCACATTGATGGTAAAATTTAATCATATAATTTTATAAATTATGAATTAAATTTTTATCAAGAGTGAACTTCACACAGTGTTAATAATTTTTTTTTTTATTCTTGATGTTGTTAAAGAAAGTCCCAATATTAGGCCTTTCATGGTCTGACTGATCTGTCATTTGGATGCCTTCAGCATTTTTTTTAAATTTAAAACTTTATTTTCTTCTCAAAAAATTGTGGGCCTACATTCTACAATAATATGCAGATAGACATACGTGATGAGCATACCAAATATGGTTAAATAATTAGAAGAAAGAAAGACGAGAAATCCGGAGGAAAGGACGATATAATAATTTCAAATATTAAATAAACTTGTATCATCCTGACAAAAAGTTATATGTGCTTTATCAGTATATATAACAACCAATTTGTCTGCTTTAGTGTCTGACATTAAAAATTCATCAAAACGATATGAGAAAGGGACAAGAACAAATACTATATATATATATATACCAAGTACGTAATTATTGCTGCCACGAAGGGGACCGTATCTGATTTGTTTAGAAGGGATTAGCTAAGAATCTCACTTTTTTCTTAATAATTAATTAATAAACAGAATTTAAAAATCAATTTTATTATGTGGAATTAGCCTATAGGAATTGGTATAGTGTAATTTGTTATTAAAAAAATTGGAAGTGGCTAGCAAATTAAAGCATGATTTAGGAAGCAATCAAAGGCCATATTATTCAATTTTGTAGGCTTTTAGCTTTTGACAAAGACGCAAAAATGATGCCTCAATCTATGCTCCACACTACGGAGTCAACAGTCAACGGTCTTTGTCGTGTCTCTTTGTTTAACAATTTCACATGGGAATGAATTTCGTGTACTTTATTCATACGTAGATTATTCCCATTTGACGCAGTCAAGGGAGATATTATTTATTTATTTATTTATTTTAATTAAATAATTATTATATTGCCTCCTCATGAGTATTGATAATGCTTAAATTAAACTTAATAATAACTAAATATTAGATAATAATATTAAAAAAAACTTACCATGAGTGATGTGGCTGGTCAAAAATTGATAAATTAGAACAATAACAAGTCTTATATATCTTATTAAGTGGACTCGATTATATAGATTATATGATGTCATTTTATATCTCTGCAAGATTTGACTGAGTTTTACTTTGATATTTCAAATAAATAGTAATAGCTTCACTGATCTTTTCTTAAGTATACATATAATGGAGTCTATAATTACCATGGTTTTTTATTTTTTTGCTATTGCACCTTATATCCTGAAATGTTTAGATATGTTGGATTCATTGCTCACTAAATTCACTAGAGTAATCTAAATTTCCACTTATATAAGACTCTTTTTTGAGAGAGTTACATAAGCATTATTAGAGAGACATGCTTTGCAACCACATTACTTCTATGCCACCTATCAAGGGCTTAACACAACCATCATTATTTACTTAATTTTGCAATTGGTTATAAGATATATTTTAAATAAGATAAAAGATATTTTCTCAATTAAATTTGACAAGATGTTATAAAATGCACTCATTCCCTCTTTTTTTTTTTTGGTCTATATCTTGCTGCAATGGCTTGTTTTCTTAGGAAAAGATAAACACATGGGGTTGCTGGATGGAGGATGAGTCCTATCCTATCTCACATGTGAGGCTCACTTATTTTATGTACTAGGAGTTCATGATGAATTATTTGAATTGTGTCGATTTAATCTTAATAGTATATATTACAATTTCTTTGATTTTTTATATATGATAATGTAATTTCTCTCTTTTTAACCACATGGGAACCAATTCCATCCAAAACCTAAACGCCTCTATATTTATATGAGTTTCAAGAATTATCAAATCAAATCAAATGGCTGATTTCTAAATATATTTATTAGTAAGTATAATGTTGAAAAAAATTTAGCAAAAAATTTATTCATAAATAAAGACTAATAACAAATTTTATATAAAAAATAAATTTATATTCTCATTTTAATAGTAATTCATTTTATATTAACTTTTATTTATAAATAAGTTTTTTATTAAATTATTGGATATGATTTTTTCTTTAATCTTTTAGTATTTTAATAAAGGGTGAATAATGGCAGGCTTGAGCTATCAAAGGGCACGCGCGGCTTTCAATTGCTAAATCATACAAATCTTTCTTTTTCCTTTCCGCAATTTAAGGACCTACACAACTCTCACAACACTCACACACACACACACACACACACACAAGTGGACACGTGTAAAACGCAAGAGCATAACGTCAATTTGAACTGTGTGTTTAAATTTGCATGTGATGTGTCTAAATTTAAATATAGCATTGAGAGCGCAAGCCTTTGTCCATCCTCCATTGGGTTTGGGGCCCTCCAATGAGAGAGGTTATTTATTAATTATTTTTTTCCACATTATTACAATACTTTTATTGTAACTCGAAAAAAATAATTAAAAAGTGAATGGTTAAAAGTAATTAAGAAGATAATTACCTTTACTTGAATTGTGTTGTGTAAACTATGTACGATCGATCACCAAGTGGCTTAAAAATAGGTGTCTTGAATCATTGAAAAATAATATCATAGTCTAATGTATTATTGGATATTATATATGTTAAGTAAATAATTATTGAATGTGTTACAATTAGTAAAAGTTTAGTCTACCTACTTATGTTGGATCTAACAACCAAAAGAACAATTCATGTATGTTAACAAAGTTAAATATATATTTATTGGAAAATTACGTGAGTAACCAATGTAACCCATCCATGAACATTTTACATCAGACGAAAGAGATATACTTTTAGAAGTGAATCATGTGAATTAATGTACGGATTTAAAATTAATTAGAAGTTTTAATTTTGTAAGAAAATTATGGCAACAATTTCAAAATATTTCAAAGGCATATACTTAAACTTAATGATATCAAGTGCATTTTTGAAAATCATGCATTATTATTGCTTCATTAAATTTTTTACAAGTTCTATTCCCTCTATATATTCTGCATAGATCAAGAAAATTTGTTGAACATAGTTAATTGTCTTAATTTCTTTAAAAATTAAATTGGCATTCCCAAAATGCATATGTGGACATCACTATTTCACTCATAATTTTTCTATCTCTACAATAAATATTGATAAGTTGGTATTTTTGGAAGAACACAATAAATGATTCACTTTTTTCTACAAAAGATCTTACTATATATAAAACAATTAAAACTTTTAGCAGAAATCTTATAATTTAGTAGAGGGAGCATTGAGAACCAAAAAAGAAAATTAAAAAGATTTCTTATAAAAAGGAACGGAAAAAATGTATAAGCCATATCTATATTAACTGAACTTTAAACTTAAATTCTTATAAAATAAAAACTTAATTCCTCACAATTATATTTTTAAAAAATTTATTATTTACATTCATATATTTGTTATAAAAATTTTGTAGGACGTTGAAAATATTTTCATGGAAGGAACTTTTTTAAAAAAAAGTGATAATGACTGTAGGG